AACACCCGTGATGCTTTATCTTGATGGACGCTCGGTTCGTAGCACAGTGTGCTAACTTACCACCGTGTAATCAGAATCTTTATTTCTATAGATGAATCCGGTGAGCCATGAAGGACATCCATCAATCAACCCCGATTAAAACAAAAATCCAACATCAAAAGCCAGCGGATCTCGAACTTTGAGAAATGCCCCTCCCCCAATCTTTAGAACTGCTTTTCGCGCTCAGTTTGTTGTCCTTCCCCCGCAATTCCGATTAGTACACGGTTGGCTACGTACGGTGCGAGAGAAGTTCAACATACACACATTTAACAAACATAAAAACAACCCGTTACATTGAGCAGAGTGGTCACTCATTCAAACGATATCCAGGTTGTATTATCTTTAATATGTGTTAGATGTACCCTCACACGCACATCCGATTAGCACGGTTGGCTACGGACGGTGTGAAAGAAGTTCTCCACACATACACTCTCTTGGTGTGCACGAGTTATCCAAACATCAAACTGCGGTGGGTATTTTCTCAGGAACGCTCTCTCCTTTCGCTGCCACTCCGTCGTACACGTGGGCAACGTGCCTTGCCCAAACCCACTTTTGCTATAATTCGTTATTAAGCATTCCTTAACGTCCACTATCCTAGCTTGATACCAAAACATTATTGGAAGGTAGCCGTTAACTGTTGGAAGGAGGCGCTTGTGTGCCAGCTATTGCCTGGTGGCAGTTTTGACCAAGACTGAAAACTGGAGTCCCTTCACACCCTGTGCCTCCCCACCACCGTTGCAGAACCACATCAGCAAATCAACCACCACCGCCCCCATCGGGGACAATATGGAAGTGAACCAGTGCAAGGTCATTTCCCAAAACCAAAGCTGCTGGAACGCCGCAGTTGGGTCGAGCGGCCCATTCAGATTGCATCTGCTGAGCCAGTCGCCCAAATTGTTTCAAAGCATGCCAAGGTACCTCGTTGACCCAAAAGTATGAATTATATACATATATGCATAACAGCCCCGGTATGGGAAGAGACCATTAATTGGCGAAGGGACTCATACAATTACAACAGAGGCTGGTCAAGGGCGAAAGACGCTTGGGGGCTCTATGCATAGTGGATAGACACAATGTGAACCAACTGCACCTCCGATAAGCACGGTTGGTTACGTACGGTGCGAAATAAGTTCAGCATACAGTACGTACATAATAAAACATGAACTGGGACTGGTTTTCCAAGCACTGCTCTTGCGTAAGATTGTTATGGTCCTTGCGATGACTGCACACAATGAATTATAACCGCTATCAATGACCTCTGGTGACCTAATTATCACAAGTGGCATAAGTCACAACTCTTACCGCTTGCACACCAGTTTCTCAGATTTATTGGTGTCGATTGTTGACCTTGGTCTGCGATCATAACAACTTGACCGTTTAAAGGCACTTGTGCAAGTCAATCTTGCTAAAACCACCACCATCGGTTTATATATATTTTTTTCGCAAAACACACATCGGCTGGATAATGGTTGAACAGCGACAGAGGGAGGACAGAGGTTGTACGTCATCGCTGCGACTCTTGCATCACTTGCGGCCAAGAAATGTCAACAGAATACTACTAAAGGCATGGGGCTAATATCAGGAATCTGAACATAACGTGTTTTGTGCAAGTATGCTATAGCAATATAACATTGTGAATCTTGTTTTAATTAAAAAATAAAAAGATTAACTTTGTATTTGCTCACTCTTGTACTCCTTTTGGTTCAAGTTATAAGCTGAATGATGAGCACATATCTTTCAATAAATAATGAGTATTAAAGTTCAACAGAGATTTTATTCGGGAACTCCCAATTTCTTCCCACATAAAATTCTATTCAAGGTGGAACTGGTCAAATATCTCCAGGAAGACCGTTCTGTAAAGTCTCGATGCGACTCAGTGAGATTTCTGTGGATAGTTATTTTTAAAATTGTCTCTTAAAGTGTTTTTAAAACACTTTCCTCCAACGTGTGGCCGTGTTGACTGTTTGCGTTGGTTTGAATTTTACAAAGTAATGGCTTTAAGTTCCATGCTTTGCTCATTACCCACCTCGAGTGTGATTAAATCTAGATAAAAGAAAAGCATAGAGGTGCTCAGTTTATTTGTAGTTTCATGTTCACTGCAAGACACATTTTGAAACAGCAACTGGCACGGGAAAATAAAAGCAGAGCCGATCATTTCGACTCCCAAAAATAACGAATTTCTGTTAATTACAAACAATTACGCAACCCGTTACCAACAATCATTGGAAGGATCAACCCACGGCGTGACTCTGGCCACCAGAACCTGACAATGGACCATATCGTGAATAACTGCATCATCCTAGTCGCGCTACTCCCGAAACTATTGACACTGTGCTTACACAATTAAACCTTGACGTGTGATTTACACATACAGTACTTGCCATATACTAGAAGAAGTCGATTGCAAGGATATAGATCTATTTCTTCGAGAATGTCCCAGGCTATTTTAGACTCGGCTGGTGCTCTAGGCTTCTTAACCGTGATTTGTTTGGTTCCTTACTCATGTGATCATCCACTCCATTTCTTGTGGGGCCGTCCATAAATGACGTCACGCACCTGGGGGGGGGGGGTCAGACATTTGTAACGATGTGTGACGAGGGGGGGGGTGTTTGAGAAATGTGACGTCACATCAAAATGCTCGACTTTAAATAAATATAGACAACACGTTCTACTTAATTAAATATAATTTTTTATGTTTTCTCATTCAATATCAGAGTGCAGCGCCACATTAAATACGCACTACAATGACAATAGTTTAAAGCGATTTGAAGCATGTTTTATATATTTTTTTTGGGGGGGAAGAGCTTTGTGACGTCATATTTGAGGGGGGGTCTGACTTTTTGTGACGCCGTGTGACGAGGGGGGGGTGGTCAAAAATCGTTACTTTTGTAACATTTTTATTTTATGGTGACCTGCTTTGTAAACTGTTTAACACGTATTATTTCACCTCATTACTGGCGAAACATCGTACTCAGATTGAAAATGTGGTGGATTTGCTCTCCAACACACTGGTGTGCTGTGCTCGTTTTGGCACGTTCTGTTTACGTGACAAACCTTACTAATTGGCTGTGTCGGGTGGTGGCGGGTTTAACGACACATTAATATATTTACGCGATCTAACCCAAAATAACTGTATTATGGATTATTTGTAAACTGTCATTTCGCCATAGTGGGGGGGGGGGGGGGTCATACATGTGTAATAATTAAAACAAATAAACCACGGGCATGATAATGCAACAAGTTTTCAAGTCGGCAGACACGTTCACCATTATCGAAACTTCAGCTAAATTATGCAAAACTGAGATGGCCCACAATGAGGATATCCAACAAGCAATATACTCCAACTGGTAATTTACGAACAAGCTGGCTTCACAAAAGCAACCACAAACTACACATTATTTGGTGATAATGCGTTGGCAGCGGTGCACAAAGTACAAAACCACTCAACACGTTGATTAATAGCACCGCCTTAATAGGGAAAATATATACGTTGATAGGTGACGCTATGGGCAATGGCGCTTCTTCACAGCACAGAGGACACAGAATGGATAGGAGTTGCAGGCGGTGCTATATACCATGTGGATTGATAAGAATTACATTTTAAAAACCGTTCCTGAAGACGTTTTAAAGTGGAAGATAGTGAAAATTTAAAACTTTAATTATCAATGGGTGTACGACTACATACTTTTGTTTTGATCGTAAAGCTATTTCATTATGGGTAACCCTGTTGTAGTGTGGTCACAAAATAATGTTCAAAAATTCACTTTGTGACTCACTCCTGCGATTGATACAGATAATAATGCAATTTATAACGCGCACAAATATTTCAGACATAACTGAGGCATGGAGCCAAGTTGTGCTGCTCGACAGCCAGGCAAAAGAAGTGTGGCTTATAGTGTATTTTAAAATTGTGGAGATGAGATGCAGCAGATGGCAGTGGCTGCCACATAAAAGTGATACCTGGCAGAGACAAGCCTGGTCTTTGGTGTAGAGGTGTTGAGTCACGCCGCGGAGAGTTCTAACCCTGAGCTGTAATGCAGGGTGACAGGAGTGGAGGTGGGCTGCCACGGAAAAGCAATGTCTTGTAGTGCCGGTCCTGGTTCCTGATATTGAGGTTGTGAGTCCCACTTCAGAGTTCTGCCGTGAGCTGTAGTGAAGAGTGAGAGAAGTGAAGAGCGATATGGTGGATGACCGAAAGCAGAAGAGCAGTGGCACAGGCAGGCCATCTTGTAGCTGACCCTGCTGGCGATGGGTAGCCAATGGAGCTTAGGGGATGTGACGAAATACAGCAGAGGATGGACAGATGCCAAGGACACAAGGTGAGATTGTTTGTTAAAGATCTAACAAGAACGGAGTTGCGGCAGTCGAGGCGAGACCCGACTATGCTGCAGACGAGGGGATTGGCGATTTCGGTGGCGAGTGCATGTGTATAACAGGCCCCTGAAGTGAGTTGCAAGATCCGATGTATAGCTGTTAAACCACACGGTGGAATCGCGAGTGACGCCGAGGAACCTGTGGTGGGAGAATTGGACAGAGCCAGCGATTAAAATATGCTTTAAGCATAGACCTAGTGAGACACTGTGTAAGTGTGGATCAGGATGGCTATGGATTTGGAAGCATTCAATTAAGAGATTGTGGGCCCAGACCCTTTGGTGCAAGGTGGCTCGTTAATGTTGTTCCGCAGAGCTGTGGGCCAGCAGATCACCAACGTATGCTGCCAAACAGGTGGTTCCTGAAAAATGTTGGCAAAATGCATCACTCCTGAGGATATGAAAATTAAGGAATGTTTTGATATCCAGGTTTGATGGATGGTATGTCATGGGAACTGGCCCCGTCCTGTCTTTCGGTTGACCAGTTCCAGTTACTTGTCAAGCTGCTTGACCGAATGCAGAGTTTGTTGCATAAATTACATGTCCGAGCACACGGCAAGTCCGATAGGAAATGATTTACAGGAGACATACTGAACCAACATAGCTTACATTTAATGAATGGCTTTTACGTTCCCATTAAACACTGCTTTCTGTACTTGTTTTTTACCCCCAGAAAGACCGGTAAATAACATTTCAGCTATTTACAGGAAATATATGAACACAACTTTTTTAACTCCATTATACAACATTAGTAAAGGCACCCACACTTCGTGATAGTTTTAAAAGGTTTCTTTAAACAGCGAGTACACTCCAGATGTACCCTAAACGCAAATATGCATGATGCCACCCCAATGTCCAGTTTAGTATTTTACGCATGCAAAACAATGGTCTTAATTCATATCATGTTACTAATTGTTGAAAATACATACCTCCTTTTTCTTGATGAATATAGCAATTTTAACAATCCGATTTACAATGTACTTTTGTTGTATCATTTAAAACCGCTTCCAGTAAAAAAATGTGCATTCCTCACTTTACTACACATCACGTCACGAGCTAGCAGGCTGAAGATATACACTTCACATTTTCACCATCGTATGCTCTCAACAAATAACACAAACTCCTGACACAAAAACAACAGAAATAAAGTGAATATCTTACAGATTTGCTGTAGAAATCGTCTTTTTAACAACACAAAACTACAAAGGGATACTTCTTTCAAGTTCTTCCAATACGTGTATTAAATGCAAGCTGCACAGATAAAAAAGAGTGGCCAAGAGCATCAACTTTAACACAAACCCAGACCGCTTTTACTCGTCGCTTGCGCTGCTTTCTTCCCTGCTCATGGATACAAAACACAAGCACAGTACACATCGTCTAAAGCTAAGACATCATCCATCACACACAGTACGTGGTGGGTTAAGCATGATTATCAGTCACAGACACGATCTCGGCCGGAAACAACAAAGCGCCACAAAGTGGGAATGCAAAATGTGATTCACGATTTCGCAATACGCAAGTTAGAGAGACTGTAGAATATAACAAGAGGCATTTACTTTAAGAATATTTAACCAATACAGTATACACAAGGATATACAAACTTATTAAAATGCAATTTTCTAAAATGGTTTCAGCCATCAGCCCATGGTCGACGGTGATCTACATTTGATTGAATCTTTTTGTATCTTAAGGGTAAGTCACCCACACCTATATATGAAGCTAATGTTTAAGCAAAACTCATTTAAATATCAATGACAGCATTGTATGAACATCTTATCTAAATTAGAATCAACATTTATAAACAGTGATTAACTTAACAAGGTAATCAAAGTATGTCTCCATCAAGTAGGCCTTCATATGCAATTGTTAGAGCTACTGTAACAATTCAAAATAAGGGTAACTGTTGAGAATGTTGTCATGGTGTCCATTGTTATGGGAGAGATACTGCTGTAATCAATGTCACAAGTTTAGTTTTAACTAGGGGAGGACAAGGCAGCAATAATTGTTAAAATTAAGGTGGTAGTTAAAACACGATGTGGTAAATTCAAACTCAACAGCTGAAAGCGGCAATGCTGGCAGCGCCAAAGGTCATTAAAACTGTTGCAGTGTACACAGCTTTCATTGACGTTTGGCAAAAATAATTGTTCTATTACATGTACATTAGGCAGAATGTACTTTCAGGCCGTATAATGTGCATGTGTTTATTTTGGGTTGGACCATATGGGTATGTCAATTATAGCAACGCAACCTCCACCACCTAACAAATCAAGGTGTCACCTGAACAAATGTTTTCAAGCACACCAGTATGTTGAAAAATTAAGAATTTACAAACTAAATCGGACACTTTTTTAATGAAAGGCCCAACTTAAGCAGGGCAAATAGCCCAAATTTTGTTACAATGCATTATGAGTTCACGTTAACCATGCCTTCACGGAGTGAGTGCCAAGGACTTCTTGATGGTGCGCATGTGGGGAACAGTTACACCACTTCGAAACCCTAAAAACTGAGCCGTAAGGAAAATTACACGCACACACACATCTCTGCTTTGTCAACACCGCATACGCCACACTATCCAGCATGATACACAAACTCCGCGTCAAAAAAAGTGGAACAGGCAACGCCAATTTCCCCCTCCACCAGCCAGAAAAATGGGGGGTTGTTTTGTTGTCGTTTGAATACTTTGCGCTCCGTCACTGCACGACGCGCTCGCTGGCTACGTCCTGCAGCCGGCGGAGCCACACACTCTCGTCAGGGCGTGGCCGCTTGGCTGGGGAGTCTGGCACGTCGTCCAGTGGCAGAGACCGCTTGCGAGCTGCTGCAGCAGCAGCAGCGGCAGCAGCGCCACTCTCGCCACAGCTGATCATGGAATTGATCTGACGCAGGTTCTGGGGGCAAACACACAGGCAGTGAGTTGTGTGAGAGCATGCGAGCTGTGTGGTGATACATCCTTATTAGAGCCCAGTGCCTTTGGAGGCAAGGGTTGGTGCATCACATGTGGAGCTGTGGTACGTGTATGTTTTCTGGACTGTGAGGTGGTCAGAGATGTTAGTACGTCTGCGCAGACCTTTCGAGTGTTATTCCCTTGCATTATTGGTTTTTTTTCCAGTTTACTTTGGTGTAATGCCAAACAAAAATCCAATGCAGGACCCTCCTGGAAAATATTGCAACTCATTGAGGCTTTATTTCAAAATAAATGATACTTTTCCATAAATATGGGAGGAACAAAAATTTATCTAAAGCAGCAGCACACATTACATATCTGAAAATGTGCTATTCTAATTCTGGTGGTGTGCACAGCTTGGTCAAGAGGTCATCATGGTTGAGTCCAATGATGCAACATTCAGAACTGTTTCCTTCTGTCATAAACAAGCATACCCCGGTTTACGCCAAGGATGTAAATAGAAAGTACTTAAATCGAAGCAACGAGATGGGATCGTGGATCGTAACCTGGTATAGTACCTAAATATAGGATGCTCAGTTACCCTTTGCGCATCTATAATGTACAACCACTTGTATAAACATAGTCGCAATGAATACGGGATGTAGAGCAAAAAAATAGTAAGAGTGCGTGTATAATTGAGAGATGACTAGTCAGGAATGCTAAAGCTTGCGCGTAAAAAATGTGGGTCTTAATAGTAAAGTTGGAAAAAATGTTCCTAAATCTCGAGTACATTATGGCGAGGTACCACAGTCCGTAACACGGGATTGGGAGATCATCAAGAAGTTGGGTACGTTATAGAGAAAGTACAAAAATGGGGACGGCGTAAATCGGGGTATGACTGTATATGAGTGCACATATCTCAGGCCATTGCCATTTTTCACAGTGGAATGAAACTAACTTTGTCAAAAATGTAGCAGTAGTAAGGTATGTTCAGCCTGTGTATTGACTTGGCAAAAGTTGTGGGTTGTATTTAGAAACTAGTATTACAGGTGTACTAATACAGTGAGGGAAAAAAATATTTGATCCCCTGCCGATTTTGTACGTTTGCCCACTGACAAAGAAATGATCAGTCTATAATTTTAATGGTAGGTTTATTTGAACAGTGAGAGACAGATTAACAATAAAAAAATCCAGAATAACGCATGTTAAATTTTTTTATAAATTGAATTGCATTTTAATGAGGGAAATAAGTATTTGACCCCCTCTCAATTAGAAAGTTCTGGCTCCCAGGTGTCTTTTATACAGGTAACGAGCTGAGAATAGGAGCACATTCTTAAAGGGAGTGCTCCTAATCTCAGCTTGTTACCTGTATAAAAGACACCTGTCCACAGAAGCAATCAATCAATTAGATTCCAAACTCTCCCCCATGGCCAAGACCAAAGAGCTCTCCAAGGATGTCAGGGACAAGATTGTAGACCTACACAAGGCTGGAATGGGCTACAAGACCATTGCCAAGCAGCTTGGTGAGAAGGTGACAACAGTTGGTGTGATTATTCGCAAAAGGAAGAAACACAAAAGAACTGTCAATCTCCCTCGGCCTGGGGCTCCATGCAAGATCTCACCTCGTGGAGATGCAATGATCATGAGAACGGTGAGGAATCAGCCCAGAACTACACGGGAGGATCTTGGCAATGATCTCAAGGCAGCTGGGACCATAGTCACCAAGAAAACAATTGGTAACACACTACGCCGTGAAGGACTGAAATCCTGCAGTGCCCGCAAGGTCCCCCTGCTCAAGAAAGCACATTTACATGCCCGTCTGAAGTTTGCCAATGAACATCTGAAGGATTCAGAGGACAACTGGGTGAAAGTGTTGTGGTCAGATGAGACCAAAATGTAGCTCTTTGGCATCAACTCAACTCGCCGTGTTTGGAGGAGGAGGAATGCTGCCTATGACCTCAAGAACACCATCCCCACCGTCAAATATGGAGATGGAAACATTACGCTTTGGGGGTGTTTTTCTAAGGGGACAGGACAACTTCACCGCATCAAAGGGACGATGGCCATGTACCGTCAAATTTTGAGTGATAACCTCCTTCCCTCAGCCAGGGCATTGAAAATGGGTCGTAGATGGGTATTCCAGCATGACAATGACCCAAAACACATGGCCAAGGCAACAAAGGAGTGGCTCAAGAAGAGGCACATTAAGGTCCCCTGGAGTGGCCTAGCCAGTCTCCAGACCTTAATCCTATAGAAAATCTGTGGAGGGAGCTGAAGGTTCGAGTTGCCAAACGTCAGCCTCGAAACCTTAATGACTTGGAGAAGATCTACAAAGAGTGGGACAAAATCCCTCCTGAGATGTGTGCAAACCTGGTGGCCAACTACAAGAAACGTCTGACCTCTGTGATTGCCAACAAGGGTTTTGCCACCAAGTACTAAGACATGTTTTGCAGAGGGGTCAAATACTTATTTCCCTCATTAAAATGCAAATCAATTCATAACATTTTTGACATGCGTTTTTCTGGATTTTTTTGTTGTTATTCTGTCTCTAACTGTTCAAATAAACCTACCATTAAAATTATAGACTGATCATTTCTTTGTCAGTGGGCAAACGTACAAAATCAGCAGGGGATCAAATACTTTTTTCCCTCACTACATGTGGGCTAGAAAATAGGTGCACACGAATTACGAATGCTTGTTAAAGGATATACAATGTGTGTATTTGTGCAAAATAATTCTTGTATTCATGCTTTGAGTGTGCTGGTACACGTGTGCCATTAGTACATGCATGTGGCAACATGTGCATGCTAATGAACCGTGCAGGCTACATTTCAATAAGGAAATAACCTAAAGGAAGATTCTACCAAAAACCAAAGAGCTCTTACTTTGTAGATATGTACCTAGACAGTCTGTCCTAGACTGTCCAAATTGAGTTTGAAGATGTGTTAACAAATAATACATTAACATCACATTGAAGCAGCGTATTATGGAAATCTAGTGATGGTTTAATGTCATCACTCGTGTCATTTTAGTCTTTTTTTCTCATTCAAAATGTAAACTCATGTCTGGCAACCTGGGACACACAGCTTGTGTACTTATCTATAAGAAACTATCTATTTTTGGGGTTGTTTGTGGGTCGTGAAGAAAAATCCATTGTGCTGTACTTCCATGGCCCATGTTTATGCTCCCAGCCTTTACCCACCTGTATTGATCAGCGTGGTAAAGTTAAACAACCCACATGGCGTGACGAATCCCTCATCTAACAGTGGACTGACAAAATTACTACTGATGTGCCTTTCTTTTACTGAAGCTGGCATGTGGCTATATAAGTGCGAATGCTGGAAATACAACACCACAACTGTGTACTCATCTCACCCTGGAGGGGCTCTGGTTGAAGCAGTAGAGCAAACGGCTGCGTGGGGAGAAGGGCGCGCCATTCTTGTGTGGCGACACGTAGATTGGATGCATGTGGGACACGCGGCGCGGAGAGCACGGGTGCGTCCGCAGAAGAGGTAACGGCGACAAGGGTGGCACCTCCTTCTGTATCCATCACCGTCAGACAGCAATACACCATCAAATACGGTCAGTACTCAGTCGATATGTAGCGATTTACTCCTCAAGCCAATTGATCACAATTCAGGAAAAGAGTGCAGGTTATAAGATTTGTGGGATGGGCGGTAATGGCAAGAGTGGCCAACAGGTGACCAAAGAAGGAGACCGATGGGTGGGATTGTGGACAGAAGCCTGGCGGTTTCAGGTTCAGCAAGTTGGTATGCAGGCTAGACTGCACCCTCAGGATGTGTGACAGCACCGCAATGGCCAGCCAAGCACCGTGGGCGAGCAGCAGCAGCGTGCGTGGCGAGGGGATGTAGGGAGCAACGGGAGGACCGCACAGCAGCCAGACGCTGCATACATGCGGCGGGCTGGCAGCCACAAGTCCTGTGGGCCACGAGCAGGCAAAGGCCAGGATGCGGCCGAATACCAACAACAACCGCCCAGCCTCATACGGCGATGTAGAGTTTAAAAAAATAAATGGATTCATGAAAATATATACATGAGAAACATAAGAAAAAAGACAAAGTAAACCTGAGGGAATGGGAAAGGAAAGTAATGGAAAAAGTGAGGCTGCAGAGCGGAGGAAAGATTCGGCAGCCAGACTGATTGCCACCAAACTCTGGATATCTATATTACGCATACACTGGCACTGCCCGCACATTTGCGCGAGACAGAACGATAGCACGCCCTTGCCCGCGCCAGCACAATGACGTCAGCACTTTGTCTATCAGTCCTATAAGGTGATGTCACCGTGAAGCCATAGGCGTGTGGCTTAAGGGCCGATGATGTAGCTCATAAACATTAGGTTTAAATATAATTCAACGGGGAAGCCATCTTCTGGAGGATTCTAGCAATTAAACGGGAGTCCTTCTCTTGGAAAACGTTGGCTCCCATTGCTTTGTATTTGACGATACATTCCTGGGCAAAATGCTAATTCGGAAAGGAGACACCTTTCCGGGAATGTTCTTGCCCAGAGAAACAATTTTTATTGCGTGTTTTCATCTGATATACCATTTGGCAGAAACAAAGCGTGATGGACGGACTTGCAAATTTTGTACAAATTTTGTACATATATATTATTCGTGCAAATGAAACATTGCCAGTGGGAGCGTGTAAGAAATACTCACGGCAGTCTCCAGGTTGTTGCCGGTGTACTTGAGCGCAAAGGTGCGGATACAAGAGATGTAGGTTTGGTTGTAGAACTGGATGAGGTCACCCCTCTCCTCTTCCTCCTCATCCTCATTGTCGGGGTGACAGCTTGAGCCCAGGAGGCGTGTGGGCGTCGGTGGTGCGCTGCTCGGGTGAGGCACGGGCAGGGTGCTGCTGGATCGCATGCTGGGGGGGCTTGACTCGCGCTCTCCTGCACACCCCGATCACCGCCGGACAGGAAATACACCATCAAATACCATCCATATTCAATAGATATCTAACGATTGATTCCTAAAGTCAATGATCACGATTCAGGGTCTTGGTTTGATTGAATTATTTTCACATCTAAACTGTACAGTTTAACTTGATTTACTTTTTAGGACTTAGTTTGTAAAATTTTGTTGACTCCATTCGGCAAAAAGTAAAATCGTATTATTTACATATAAATTGCATAAACTTGTAGATTATAACACACATGATGTAATGCATGTATCGTGAGGGAACAAATTGATGAATGCATTGTCATATACTTATTTCTCACCGCTAGGCCGGAAAACATGCACTGTCATTTAAAATGTGTTACCGCTAACAACTCAGGTAACACGCACCATCATGTACAATCTATCGAGTTGGCTTCTGTGACTGAGCCAAGTTTACTCAGCTGCTGGTCAATATCATGAATTATACATTTTCTGGCGAAATGGGTAATAATACTCTTATGTAAGCGCACAACTGTATCTATCTGTGATGAACGCTGCACTTTCCATCGTTTTCATGCAGGGGGCGCTGCAAACTTACGCGCCCCCTGCATGAACGACGAAGGCGCAGGGACAGACGTTCGATTACGTTGGAATCGATCTGCAGACAGCGGTCTTCTCGCACAGCCAGCTCTATGTCGCCTTATCTCGATCCCGCAATCCCAAACAGGTGAAAGTCCGCATCGAACTGAACCCCCAGCAAAGTCATCTACTTAACGAAGAGAGAAAATTCGCACAAAATGTCCTTTTCAATGAAGTCTTCCAGATGTAAAATGAAAAAATTAAATGATCTAATTAAAAACAATACAATTCAAAGATTTTGATTTAAAGCTTTCGTGACTGCAGTAATTCATATTCTTAGTTTTTTCGGTAAAGTCACGTTGAAGAGAAACAACAAAATAACAAAATATATATAAAACAATAAAAAATTCTCACGACGTTTCGACCATAACTCAAACGGTCATCATCAGGTGTGTTGGTTTGCATAAATGTATTTTTAAACGGCACATTTATTTATTTATTAAAAAAACCGTTGGCGTCACGCGCAGCGGTTTGGCAGTTTGCCCAGGACTAGTCCATCTATTTTTTTTTTAAAGAGGAGGGGGGAGACGAATTTTTTTATAATGTATGCTGTCTGAAAGCCACTGTAAGCGTGAACAATCAATTAAGAACTGAAATGATTTATCAAATCTTTCCAATGATTGCTAAGATAGAATCCATCTTCTCGGTTGAAATTGTCTCTGTGCTTGTATATGTGGATAGCCTCATGAACGAATCTCTCATGGAAGCCAGATGGCTTACAAAGAACCTCCGTCTTGGAAAAGTCAATGGCATGTGAGCCTACTGAATTAGAACAATGATCTGCTACGGCCGAGGTGTTGGTCCTACCGTGTTTAAGGTCTGCTTTATGTTCACGAATGCGGTCCGAGACATGGCGTTTGGTTTCTCCAATGTAACTACTACCACAGAGGCAACTTAGTTTGTAGACACCAGGGTATTGTATGTCCGGAATCACATCTTTTACAGACGGAACCAGATCACGGATTTTATGTATTGTGTTGAAACGGACCTGGATCTTGTGTTTATTCAAGATTTTGGAGATCTTTTTTGTGATCCCAGCAATGTAGGGTAAAGTGATGGTTTTGAAAGGCTCCTCAAGAGGGTTCTTCTTCATGGTTTGAGTGATAGCTTTGCGGATTGTATAGTCGGAGTAACCATTAGCCCTAAGAGCTTGGTGTACGTGCTTGAGTTCACTGCTTATGTGTTCCTGGTCGGATATGCATTGGGCTCTATGATACAGAGTCTTGATGAGAGAATTCTTCTGTGATGGATGGTGGTGGGAATCCGGTTTCAGATAAGCATCCGTATGGGTAGCTTTCCTGTAGACAGAGTGGCTCATTGAACCATCAGGTCTCTTTTTAATTAGGACATCCAAAAAAGGTATCTTGCCATCTATTTCGACTTCCATGGTAAATCTGATGGCTGGGTGTATGGAATTGATGTGGTCGAAGAATTGGTCTAGAGCAGGCCGGCCATGTGGCCAGATGACAAAAGTGTCATCCACGTACCTCTTCCATAAGGTTGGGCGCAGAGTGGCAGTCTGGATGGCGTCAGTCTCAAATTTCTCCATGAAAATGTTAGCTATAACTGGAGAAAGGGGGGAGCCCATTGGGGTGCCCTCAGTTTGTTTGTAGAAAGTTCCATTCCAAGTGAAGTATGTATTGGTTAAACAGTGTCTCACCAGGGGGGGTACCTCAGTGTTTAGTCCTTGATGAACCAAGTCTTCAATGATTGCAATGGTGTCAGGTACAGGAACCTTGGTGAATAAGGAAACTACATCAAAACTGACAAGCAGGTCGTCTGGGGACAGGGAAATACCCTTGATTGTTGATACCAGGTGAGTAGAATTTTGTACCGCAGAGGTGGTCTTTCCAGTGAAAGGACGCAGGATTTCAGACAAAAAACGAGCTAGTTTGTAGGTGGGGGAGCTGATAGTAGAGACTATGGGACGAAGAGGTGTATCAACTTTATGTATTTTTGGTAAGCCGTATAATCTTGGTGGCCTGGCAGCAGAAGGTTTCAACAAAAACTGTTTAGATTGATCAATTAATGCGGTTGAATCAGAAATTATTTTGTTGGTTTGTGTGACGAGGCTGTTGGTGGGATCTCTTTTTATTTTTGTATAACTACCATCGTCGAGTAATTCTTTAATTTTGTTGTTGTATTCTATTTTATCCATGATGACAGTAGCATTGCCTTTGTCAGCTGAGAGAACTACAATATCATTCCTCTTTTTTAATTTATATAATTCAAAACGCTCATCTTTGCTGAGGTTGCTAGCTGGCATCTTAGCGTTTTTGAGGGTTGCAGCGATTTCAGATCTTGCTACGTCTGCAGCGATGTGACCCAGGCCCCTGAGAGCAACGTCTACTTGGGCAATTATATCATTAACTGGTATGTGTTTAGGTGTGACTGCAAAGTTTAGACCTTTAGCTAAAACGGATTTCAGACCATCGGAAATAGAACTGTTACTGCGATTAATTACGACTTTATTAACGTCTAACTTTTTGGTGTGTGGGTCCGATCTTTTGTTGAAGAGGAGGTTAAATTTGGAAATCAGGTTTTCCTTACATTTGATCGACATAGTAGCAGCTGAAGAGGCAGTCATATTGTCTACATGTTCCCAATCCGATGTGGACATTATTGCCGTCAATGATAAGTGTGATTTGTAGAGTGTCTTGTCTAACTGATCTAGTTCTGTGCGTATAAGTCTGATTTTTTCTGAGATAAGAGCTAAGCTAGTTTTGAAAAGAATTCGTTTCGCATTAGAAGAAGTTACAGCAGCAGAGGTCAGTGTAAATGCGATTGGTATTACCCCAGAGTCGCGGCATCTCTTCAGGAAGGTGAGAGACTCGATCAGCTGAGCTTTCTTATCCCGGAGTTTGTTGAAGGATCTTAAAGTTATGTGAAAACCCTCCCCGTAGAGGCGATTAAATTTTGATTTAAAGCTTTCGTGACTGCAGTAATTCATATTCTTAGTTTTTTCGGTAAAGTCACGTTGAAGAGAAACAACAAAATAACAATATATATAAAACAATAAAAAATTATCACGACGTTTCGACCATAACTCAAACGGTCATCATCAGGTGTGTTGGTTTGCATAAATTTATTTTTAAACGGCACATTTATTTATTTATAAAAAAAACCGTTGGCGTCACGCGCAGCGATTTGGCAGTTTGCCCAGGACTAGTCCATCTATTTTTTTTTGAAAAGAGGAGGGGGGAGACGAAATTTTTTATAATGTATGCTGTCTGAAAGCCACTGTAAGCGTGAACAATCAATTAAGAACTGAAATGATTTATCAAATCTTTCCAATGATTGCTAAGATAGAATCCATCTTCTCGGTTGAAATTGTCTCTGTGCTTGTATATGTGGATAGCCTCATGAACGAATCTCTCATGGAAGCCAGATGGCTTACAAAGAACCTCCATCTTGGAAAAGTCAATGGCATGTGAGCCTACTGAATTAGAACAATGATCTGCTACGGCCGAGGTGTTGGTCCTACCGTGTTTAAGGTCTGCTTTATGTTCACGAATGCGGTCCGAGACATGGCGTTTGGTTTCTCCAATGTAACTACTACCACAGAGGCAACTTAGTTTGTAGACACCAGGGTATTGTATGTCCGGAATCACATCTTTTACAGACGGAACCAGATCACGGATTTTATGTAATGTGTTGAAACGGACCTGGATCTTGTGTTTATTCAAGATTTTGGAGATCTTTTTTGTGATCCCAGCAATGTAGGGTAAAGTGATGGTTTTGAAAGGCTCCTCAAGAGGGTTCTTCTTCATGGTTTGAGTGATAGCTTTGCGGATTGTATAGTCGGAGTAACCATTAGCCCTAAGAGCTTGGTGTACGTGCTTGAGTTCACTGCTTATGTGTTCCTGGTCGGATATGCATTGGGCTCTATGATACAGAGTCTTGATGAGAGAATTCTTCTGTGATGGATGGTGGTGGGAATCCGGTTTCAGATAAGCATCCGTATGGGTAGCTTTCCTGTAGACAGAGTGGCTCATTGAACCATACAATACCCTGGTGTCTACAAACTAAGTTGCCTCTGTGGTAGTAGTTACATTGGAGAAACCAAACGCCATGTCTCGGACCGCATTCGTGAACATAAAGCAGACCTTAAACACGGTAGGACCAACACCTCGGCCGTAGCAGATCATTGTTCTAATTCAGTAGGCTCACATGCCATTGACTTTTCCAAGACGGAGGTTCTTTGTAAGCCATCTGGCTTCCATGAGAGATTCGTTCATGAGGCTATCCACATATACAAGCACAGAGACAATTTCAACCGAGAAGATGGATTCTATCTTAGCAATCATTGGAAAGATTTGATAAATCATTTCAGTTCTTAATTGATTGTTCACGCTTACAGTGGCTTTCAGACAGCATACATTATAAAAAATTTCGTCTCCCTCCTCCTCTTTTCAAAAAAAAATAGATGGACTAGTCCTGGGCAAACTGCCAAATCGCTGCGCGTGACGCCAACGGTTTTTTTTTATAAATAAATAAATGTGCCGTTTAAAAATAAATTTATGCAAACCAACACACCTGATGATGACCGTTTGAGTTATGGTCGAAACGTCGTGAGAATTTTTTATTGTTTTATATATATTTTGTTATTTTGTTGTTTCTCTTCAACGTGACTTTACCGAAAAAACTAAGAATATCAATTCAAAGATGTTTCATTTTAAAACTTCAAAACGGAGCATCGGGTGCTTGGGTTAATGCGTCGTTCGTGTCTAATTTTTTTGTGACTTTCCTGGCCGAAGGCCGTAAATGGTTGCGAAGGGTGCCACAGGCGCCTCCGAACAACCCCTAATAGGTAAGAGGTTAAATACTCAAATGTAATAGACTAAATGGGTAAAATGGGTAGCCTCAGTATTTTACTTCAACAACTGGCTCCATTTTCTTCATCCTGTCTATGATTAGCAGAAAATTCCAACAAAGAAGCTGCTCCCCTTACCAGCCGAACACCACCCCACTCATGCACTCACCATCTCCAGTATTTTAATCTTACATTTGTAATGACTGTGATTGTCACTGTGTGGTGCCGGGCTTACGAAGCCACGGTGGATAATGTGTTGGCATTATGTGTAGCCCGCTTACTGGGCGTAGTACTAGCCCTAGCGGGGCTTGGGTGAGCGCTGGTCAGCGCCGAGGCACCATGTACAGTGTGCGGGAGGGAGCGAGAGGGAGTGTCAGCCAGCCAGGGCTATGTTGGGGCATGATACGCTGGTTGACCTGCCGACATGTGACCGGATGATATTGGAGGTGGGCCACCGGTGGATGGAGGCCGCTGGGCGGTCACGTGGTATAAAAGGGCACTCGGGGAGCCTTCGGGAAAGAGCTCGAGAGATCTAGAAGGTGGGCGGGGCAAGGGTGGAGCCAGCCCCAGCCCAGGTCGATATAACGGGGGCCCCCCCGTGAGGGGCTCGGGGTTCTTCGTGTTGCTGGTGATGAAGATCCACATCGAGTAAAAGAAGCCTCTAGCCACGTGGTCCGGGACCCAGCTCGTGGTCCGGGCCGGTATAACGAACCTTGTCTAGTACTGCCATAGCGTGGCTAGATGAGCATTCATCACCCAAGTGTAGGTTGTGCACTGTTATGTTGAGTTACTGAATAAATAGTGTTGCTCCCAAGACAACGTCTGCGACTCAGTTGGACTCGCTACACATTTATAACACAATTTGTTTGAATGTACGTTTATATGCTTGTTTTCATCATTATCTGGTTGTACCATTGGAGTGTGTTGTGCATTTGAATGTTTAATTGCTTTGTAAAAACTTGATGGAATAATTTTTGGATATTTTTTAAGTTATGTCAAAGCTGCTTAACGTACATGCTTACAAGGATTTATCAGCATTGTGTACCCAGCTACATGTACACCCAGAATTGGCAAACCACAGATAGTTTCTAAATTTGCAGCTTTCATTTAAGGACTCGATGGTTTACCTGTGGTCTACTCACTTGAAACATCATAGTCCTTCACAGGGCATGGCTTGCTGATTAGCTGTCAACAGGACAATACATGCCCATGTATTCAATGCTATGGATACCTAAAGCCTTTTTGGAAGGTATGGCCTCCAAAAGAGTTACAAGCATTAAGAATTTGGCACCAACAAAATATATATCGGTGCCAAATATAAACCAAGCATGTAACGATAGTCCAGTTCATTGACAATTCAAACCGATTCCAAAGCTCACAACATATTTCCAATCGTGCATGCAATAACCGATTATGTAATAATTTGACAATGCATTCGATTTCAGGGTAGGTTAATCATTACAAGCCTAATACAAAGCCATGTTACATCCTCTCAGCAAAGGAAATGGCTATCCTTGTGAACCGAGCAAAGGGGAAGAGTTAAAGAAACAAAAGCCAGTGCTCCCACCTCGGTCCCGTGCCTCTGTGCTGCCCTCACTGCTGCCCGAGTTCCTCCTGCGTCTGCGGCCTTTGAGCAGAACGCTGCGGTAAACCTGTGGGGAAGAGAGACACCGCGGCCTCTGTCATCTCGCCAATACCTTGAGCGATATTAGTCCGTGAGTCGATATTAGTTCACTGGTGAGCAGTACAATCACCCAAGGTCATCCTACATCTTAAAAGGGACTGTGAAAGCAATAGTGGACAACTACAGAGTGAAAACATATAACCACTATTGTCAACCTTATTAAAGAAAACTATACAAAAGCCTATTCTTTTTCTGCAAAGGTTATTTTTCAGAGCACAGGAAAATGACCATTTTCAAGAACAGCGAGTGCCAGGATTGTTAGCCTACTACAGAATGTCCTGTTAAAAGGCGTAAATATTAACAAGTTGTTTTTGGATGGCACTTTGCAGAGGCCATATAAAATCCTTCATACAAAACCCACACCACTACTATTCTGACACAAACATTATTTTGGATTAATTTTGCTCATGTTCACAAGCACAATATAGTACAATGGGGAGACTCACATGACTGTTGGCCTGGGGCTGGCTCCGATACCACTTCATTATGTCCTGGAATGAGCGCTCCGACTTCGTCACCTGGGCCAATCAGAAGCAGCAGCAGAATTACTCAGGGTTGTCCAATCCCATATGGCACAAGCAACCGCTGCAATCTCATACTTGCTATCAGTTGCATCCATGGCTCATATCAACAAAGTACTGTAAACAGTCAAGTCACTTGTCCGAAATATTAACATTCAGATTTTCATATTTAAAATACATTACAAAAAGTAGTAATGCAAGTTATGATGTTGATATTAATCTATGGAAATTTGACTTCTTAAAACAAAAAAAAACATTAGTTTGGCTTTTCCATAAGATCCTAAGAATTGTCAAGTTGGCTTAGTAGCTTGTGGAAAATCATGGCCCTAAATCACCAGGCCATGGATTAAATCCTAATTCGGGGGGGGGAAGTCAACAGTGGGTATTCTATAAATTGAATGGCCCCACCATGGGAATGTGGAATTTTCACTGCAAGCAAAGGGGCACCAACAACAAGATAAGCACCGCCCCATCGCTTATCTGAACAGGGACCACATTGTCTCTACAAATTTCCCCATTGCTGGCGATGGGAGACATCGGTACATTATCACAAAACGTGGACAAAAAAGTAAAACATTTTGCACAACAGGAATCAAGCCTTTCGACTTGATTTGAGCTTGACCAAACAGGAGCTAGCCATCAAGGAGTGTTCACATGCTTACCTTGGCCATGACATAGATGGCGCACATGAGCAGTTGATCAAGGTGCCTATCAGCCATGAGGTTGGTGCAGTGCACAAGAGAATGCTCGAAGCAAGTCCACACTTTGCTGCGGAGCTCCGGCGACACGTCCAGCTTCTGGCAGAGGTCGCGTAGCCGCACGCTCGCCAGGTGGTATACCTGCCGCCCCATGCGCACACAGCGGCAAAAGCAACCCCCATTGTTCATTCATCTAGATTGAAAACGTATTTCTTTAGAACCACTTTTTGTGTTTAGTTGTCCTTCCCCCCGCACCTCCGATTAGCACGGCTGGCTACGTACAGTGCAAAAGAAATCCAATAAACATATACACACAATTTAGCAGTTTTGTAATGGGCTGCTTGTGTCGAAGATCTTGCATATAACAAAATACTAATTATAACATGCACAATAGAAATATACCATCACTGACAATACAACTTACATTTATAAAGCGTCTCAATATGACCACAAGTTAAGATGCTGCACAAGAAGACATGTGTGTTACGTGATTTTGAGAAAGAGGATTTTATTTTTAAGGCAAAAGGGGGAAATTAAAGAGAGCAGATGAGAGGGGAAAAATGACTTCTGCACTAAAGGAGACATTCAAATTCATGGAAATGTTGGCGACATCGGCGGCAACAAACCTTGCGGAAGAAGAGTGCTAGGGAGCCAGTGCGCTTGGGCCTGCTCATGGTAGTGCCGGCCCCTGCTGCAGCTGCTTCCCCATCAGCTGCGGCTGTCACTGCTGACGCAGCGCACAGGGCGGGGCCCTCCTTACGGCGGGCGGTCAGGGTCTGCGACAGCAACTGCGTGGCCTGCAGCGTTGGCGGGTGACCCCCTGCCACATTCACCGTCACTGGCACGAACGTGATGGTGCCACTGTCACTGGTTATGCCTGCATTCCCGACGGGAAGAACAACAAAAATGACTTCATGGTAAACTTATCTTCACTCTCGCACCACAATTTCTGTACAATTAGTTTAGCCGGGTGTGGTGTGTGCACTTTTGTGGATCATGCAGCTTTGTGGATCACACAAACCCTATTGATCTAACAGGTGGCCAGATGATGGCAGTACAGGATGTAGGTTCGTGAACAAGTATATGTGGAGATTTGTTGTATTATGAGTGCCCAATCAGAAGACCTGATAGGTGCCTCACCTCGCACAGGAATGGTGACCGACTGGCCATTAGTCGCAGTGACGGTGGCCGTGGCTACGGTGAGCATGGTGTGTCCGGGCAGCGGCGTCACGGACGGCACATTCAGCAGTCCCCGCGGCCCCAGCACGGAGGCTGCAGGCGCCGCCAAGCCGTCAGCAACCGCCGAGGATGGGGGGGCGGCGGTGGCAGTAGTGGAGGAAGACTGAGATGTCGAGGAGGCGATGGACGCCATCGCCAATGAGTCTGTGAACAGCTTGCGGCGAGCGGTCCCAGCGGCTGGGGAGCTGTATCGGTCATGCGCCGAGAACGGGGACTGTGGTGCGTCACCTGCAACTGCACAAAACCATCTGTTTAATACAAGCTTCGTTTAATATAAAGGTGCATCGGCAATGATAACAGCGAAAAATGCCAGACACGTCACATTTTCCCCACCAATATGAAACAAGAGTTTTTGAAAATTTAGCTTCATGCTATTTTGTGGGCACGTAAAAACTGATTTTACCCCAACCAACCATAATTTAGATGTTTTATGCATCAATGTTCGTAATGTTCAGTTGAGAACACGTATAAATATATCTGAGTGATTCATTGATAGGTATGTCAAACCGATTTAAAAAACAAAAGTATTTCATTGTAACGTTTTATTTAATTACTCCTAGTTTTTTAGGTAAACACTGAAAGCCTTACCCAGGAGAACCAATTATAAACTCTTAAAGTGGCATGCCTTAAAATCCGCCTATGGTTGTGAAAGGAGGTGCTTTTAACGCACAGCAAGTTTCCACAGTAGGGGGCACAGGTGGTGCATTAGCCAGTCATCTCAGTCAGTCGACCTGTGGCACCTGGGTCTGCCCCGTGACCTCCTGCCAGCGGGGGTTCGACACTTCACGTGGCCTCAAAGTGCACATAGCCTGGCACAAGCGTTGTGGTGACGTCACCGCCACTTAGTGGCGAATGGCGGTTGTTGTTTTAACAAGAACCTGTTACAAGCACCATGGCAAACAATGATGGTCGAAAGGTGGTGTTGACCACCACTTGAGGGAACAAATAAACGAAGTCAAACGAGGGAAGTCTACTCCAATAAACTTGAAAATATTTGTACAAATTTCAGTTTCTATCCTTTAGTTTAATCATTTTCATGGGCCCAGATATCAACATTTAGGTTTTCAGATTTTACAATCTGATTTCTTATTTAGATTCTGGCACCCTTCAACACCTCTGGATGCAAACTTTCATCGGCCTAGGTTAAAAAAGTAAAAAAGATTGCGACTCATCTTCCTAACCATTCTAGAATACCTCCCTCATGACCAGCAATATATTAAGATTTTATGGGTCCAATGCAACTACACTCATGACAATGTAAAAAGAAAAAATGATTATTAATCAAATTAGGACCCTGAATAATAATATCTTAAACCATGAGGGAGGCAAATCATTACACCCCTAATTCAAGTGCAATGCTCTAAGTGCCATGGCCTCACTCTCTATTAACAATATTTCGAAAGCCCACATACACAGAATTGTCAAACATATTAGAAAGAGGGTTACCTTTCATTGTGATGGGGCAAGCTTCGGTGCGGACTTCACGCACACGCGGATGAACAATGGCAGGAGCTGGAATGCTTTCCAGGTGGTTTGGTAGTGTCACCTGTTGTCAAGAAAAAACGGAAACCACCAATTAATGCAAACCTCAGCATGACATTCTTTGCTCGCAGAAAACATAACAATTCCAAGTGCGTGTTACGATAGCCAAACGCTGGTGTGGGTGAGGTGCACATAGTGGGCATGCCTCCTCGCAGGTGGGCGTGCCGGCGGCATGGGCTGCATGCAGGGCGTCCCAGAGCGGGGAGTCGCGTCTCCACGCTAGGCTCTCCAGCACCGTCTCCTCAACATGGTTCAGGTGTTTCACCATGTCCCGTGAGAGGCCCTCCTCTGCACGGATCAGTACTTCTATGACCTGCTCGCACACAAAGACAAAGATCCCCCGTATAGCAAGTGCTGTTAGTGAGCACCTATCAAGGCCGGCACAGCACACAAGGGGGTGGCTAACACCATGCCCGGCCGCCTTTGTCTCCCCAGTGGTGATGTTTACACACTTCCTAGAACATAATCATTAAACTATATTTGACAAATGCTGTGGAATGTACATGTATGTAGTATGTTTCTCCGTGTGTCTGTCTCTCCTTGCGTCTACCCGAGAGACACAGTGACACAGAGAGGGATGGCGCTAGAAACAAAAAGGATAAAGACACACGAGGCACAGAGTCACACAAAGACAAGGACGACACACACCTTGTAGAAGGAGTAGGGGCTGATGCTGAGCGTGTCGAGGATCCAGGGGAATGTGCGCTGCGAGTTGTAGGAGAAGAGCACAATCTCCAGGCAGCATGCCATGAGCGAGCGGTGAAACACATCCTGCTCCAGCAGAGTCTGCATTGCGTTGTGCACGTGCAGGTAAAACGATAAAGCTTAGAGCTCATCTCACAATCCGGCATGCTTATTGCTAGTGCGAAAAGAAGTTCAACATACATTCATGCAATGGACATCTACTCTTACTTACGGTATCGTGTTTTAGATTGTCTGTTCTTATAGATAATTCTGCTTTTGTGTGTCGTACTTCAAACACAACTATTGAATCATAATTGATGTTTGGAATAGGCGACCTAATGGTCGGACAAAAATCTGTGTTGTAAGAACCTGCATTATAACATGGACTGAACACGTGTGTTAAAACCTTTATTGCTATAAAGCAGACTAGATAAGATATCTGGGAAGTGTAAAACAAGATCATGAATGACAATGATTAGAAAATTAAAACCGACATGAGTCTCAGGACAATTATTTCAGGAGAGTTTTGTGCTGCTATGTTTGGCCAATTATTTAAACAGCGCTTTGTCTGCGGGAGAAATACAAATTCACATCTACAAGTTACAACAGAAAGGCGATTCCATGAATGAGGCTCACAACCTATATTCTTAACTGTAATATCCTGGCCACTGCAGACTCGCATTTCTTGGAGTCTCAATCTACGAGATCTTCTAATCGTTGGACCATAGACATGCTAAATTCTACACTTGTGCTTGTACAAATGACCCTGTGCTTTCTTTCAATTCAAAGAATGCCTGTAGATTTAAGTCAATGATCGTGAATTGTGGGTGTGAGACCAGATGATGGAATATTTATATACACACTGTGAGGTCTTTCCCTTGTACCCTCTTCTTCTCCTGTGTGATGACACCTTCCAGCACTTTGTAGTACAGGATCTCTGCCAATTTCAGCCGTTTCTGGGCAAAGTCTGGGAAAAGGAAGACAGGCATGTGGACAATTGAATCATTTGGCGGGACCCCGGGGTGCCGCAAAAATCAGGTCAATAATTATTATTTTTCAGTCCGTCCACTCGTGATCCCGACAGCAACGTGCCGCCCGCCCAGACTCGCGCCAACAAGCGCCAGCAGGCGGCGATCAACACGATGGGCGCCACCCCACCGGTCAAACGTAAGCCCGGGGGGCGTCCGCCGCAGTCGCGCGCGGCGACGACGCCCTCCGGTCAGCCGTCGATCCTCAGCTTCTTTGCCAAGGTGAGCCCGCCCCCGCAGTGAAATTAACGTGTTTATGTAATTTTTTTACTTTTTATGAAACTTAGTGCCCCAGTAGCTCTCGACGAGGCCAATCGATTGACCACTAGTTTTGTTGTCGGTAAGGCAAGACTCGTGTCGCTACGTGGTTTTTCCCACCCCAGGGCAGTGATGGAACCCCGGGGTCCCGCCAATTGCTTCAATTGATGATTCATACTCCACCTACACGTCTTCTTAAATTGGTGTCTACCAGTACAAGGGGTGTGTATGCAATATCTACCTCTACAGAAAGGAGCAAATATTTACACGTGTTTACTCAGTGGAACATGTATGAACGTTACAGGACAATTAAATTGGTTGGCCAAAAGTAGCCCTTCAAAGACAAACAATATATGCATAAAAATACGTGGAGTGAATCGACATAAAAGCTTAGACTGAAGCCATAGTGCCACATCTGTGAGTCTGTAATCCAATTACTTGTTTTCATGAAAAACTCTTGAGCTCTATGTCATAGGGGACTTTTCCATCTTGGGTTGGTGCTTCTTACAAGGTACTAAATACCTATAGTTGGCATATAACACATAGGAGTGCTCTCACAAGCGCCTGTGTGCGTTTGTGCACTCACTGCAATGGAGGTCAACCACTGTGTTCCAGGTCACTGCTGTGCAAAGACATCTGTCTTGTGTAAAGAGTGCTTCTGGAAACCCTTTCTTTGATGGCAGTGTAGCGAGGGTACAATAACAAGACCCAACAAGTTGTAACATTCATGTCGTCAATGGCTGGGCTAAACTAAAGGCACCTTTGTTTCTCATGTGTATGATAGCATATATTATTCATAGTATAACAGCACATTAGAGGGTATTCTGGCCAACATCATGTCTGCCTGCCTGTCCCAGCAGGCAACAGTACTCATGTTCACTGTATCACCAACATCAGGCACTTATCTTAGGCTGAGTCAGCAATGGTGTGCATGTCTTTGAATGCGACCTTACAATAACCCAAGTTAATGCAGTGTGCTACAATACTGCTAATCACTGCATCAACACAGCACCGCTTCAGTCTGATCAGGTCTGATCACGTGAAGATGACCTACAGTGCCAAGTCACAGTAGCAAGTGCTCACAAACAGCAGTTGTCCCATCCATCAGTAAGGAGATCAATGGATTTTTTTTGTAACAACGGGTGATTTAAGATCCTTGGCCTGATGTAGCAGTGCTAAAACAATAGTTGAATGAATGTTCAAAGTGTTTTCTTTTTAAGGATCAGTGCCAAACTTAATAACAAGAAACTACATTTTACAGTTGTATGACATGTTATTTTAACGAATTAAATAGAGATGTATGTGGGGAAATAGATAAAATTAAGAGAAATGTTAATAAAACATACTTATCAAACTTTGATTGCAGTAACTTCCACAGCTTGAAGAAACATTCACAGTAATACTGTTTTATGACAAGGGATGTGTTTTGATTTAAAGCTTTCGTGACTGCAGTAATTCATATTCTTAGTTTTTTCGGTAAAGTCACGTTGAAGGGAAACAACAAAATAATAAAATATATATAAAACAATAAAAAATTCTCACGACGTTTCAACCATAACTCAAACGGTCATCTTCAGGTCGTGAGAATTTTTTTTATTGTTTTATATATATTTTATTATTTTGTTGTTTCCCTTCAACGTGACTTTACCGAAAAAACTAAGAATATGAATAAGGGATGTGTTCTTTAAATGTCTCGTTTGAGAAGCAAGACAAATATTTATTTTGCGATATCAAAGCCGTGGACCATCAATGAACTATGTGCATTCATTATACTTAAACATGACAATGAAAAGATATATAAACACTGTTTCATGAAGGCCAGTCATTGTTGTGTCAGGTCATGGACATTTTAATATCTTCTGAAATTGCATGCACCACATGTGTAACATTAAGGCTGGGCACACCCAGGTGATGATAGCAGATTGTCGGCGTGTGTGTTCATGTAAGCATGCACAGGCCATACCTATCTGCGAGCCAGGCTGCCCATCGCTGGGCCCAGTGTAGTGTTTGCAGAATGTTGCACCCATCTCCCGCACCCGTGTCTGCACCGCCTCGGTCTGATCACGCGAAGATGACCTGCAAGCGGCAGTCACGGAAGCCAGTGCTCTAAAATAAAAACACCTTAACCCAGGGCCGAGGAGACACGCACGATGTTCAAACGTGTAAACTGCAGTCTGGACGGTCAGTGCCGAAGACAATCAAGGCGCATGTGAGTAACTGGAACATTTGATGCTTTAGCTGCTGTGCTCATGATGGATTGTGCAATATATCTGTGACTGGCTGAGTGGTGGCAGCAGTCCAGTAACAAAGGAGCCTTTGGCTCGCGGAACAATCTCTCATGCATGCATTACCAGGAGAGGCAAGAGACACACTTTGCAGTACAAACTTCCTATTTTAAGAATGTTTAGTAGTACAGTTATGGTTATTATACAACAATAAGGATAAATTGTCAATGGAGACAAACCAAGATTTTTGTTTGTACAGCATGCTGTTATTTCTGCAAGTTATTTTTCTATTGTGTATTTTATGAGTTTGCTTAGTCAAGGTTTAAATTCACTGAGCCCCATCAGCATGATGTAGCATTGTAACGTGATTTTTTTTCATAAACTAAACTGGACTTTGTATTTGTACCAGGTAAGGCCCACTGAGCTATATAGCCCTTTTCAGAAGCAACCTGCTCAAAAATATACCTCAACGAAGTGGCTTATGATGTGGAAATTTATAGCAGAAGTCTGGAAAAACTATAGGCGAAATAATATTGCAGAAAGGTAGTGACATTTTTACATGTACATTGGAAAAGTGGTTTAATAAAAAAATGTGACTGTCATCAAATTATCTGGAAAGACTATTGATGAAAAAAATATATTTATATATACGAGCAACCCCCATGTACTTCGGACATGATCGTCCATCCGTGCCTCCCAGCCAGCCATTCATAAATAGAGGCCTGTCTCTCTCCACCTTTCCCTTGCATTCTGTAATTATTATTGCAATTTATGTCGATTTCTCGCTTTGTCTTTGTTTCTGTTTCTCAATTCCTCTGGGAGGGGGGGGGAGGCGTGATGTAAGCACTCCTAAACCGCGCAGATGTACACGGGATTGACATCACCTCGCACAAGTAAGGCCCACTGGGCTATATAGCTCTTTTTCAGAAGCGAACTGGCCACAAATCAAAGCCCGATGAAGTGGATTATCATGTGGAAATTTATAGCAGCCAAATATACGAAAACACATGTTTCTGAATGTGTAAAGGAAAACCGGAGGACCCGCAGAAAAATCCACGCGATCAGAAGGAAAAACTCCAAATATATAGACGTCAGGATTGGGATTGAACCCACGACCTCCTGCATAATAGGCGAGGTAGTTAACATCTCACCACCGTAGCTACTATGGGAGCTACTGCTGCTGCTAGAACAGCTGCTCTTACCGCAGCATGGTGAGCAGGTTCTCGCTGGGTGCCCCGCGCAAGCCTGACAGCAGGGCCTGCAGGCGGCCCACACTCTGTGTCGCCGTTGACACTGGAGTGAAGCCCTGCTCCTTTTCCTTGAGGTAGCGCCGGCCCGTCAGTGGGGTGGAGGGCGCCAGCGAGCGAGTCTATGATGTAATAAGCATTCATTACAATTCGACTGTGGAAATTGCACACAGTTACAAAACGTTTATATTGGAGGCACGATGTCCACAAGTTTTCTACAATGGCCGATAAGGCAAATTATAAATGCTTATGGAGCACTGATATGGAGGTGCTGCTTTCAAAACTTCCTCAATATCCAAGTGTTCGCAATGATGGACGATAAGTAAATACTGCTTGTTTTGGATATTATATGTGTGAGTAGTGTTACTTACAGCATTGGATGATGGACATACAGAATAGGCTAATGATGGGGTATAATAAAAGATGACAGGCTGAGATCAAAGGACAATGAAGGTTAAATGAGAAAAAAAACGTGTGTAGAATAAAAAATGACGGCAAAAAGTAGAGAAACATGTCTACTTAAAGGCCATATGGCACAGAAAATAATGGGTGCAATCTGCAGGCAGTATGTAAACACTCCTGCAATCTGACCAATCTCCATGATTCAGAGTCATTCAGGGTCACAATGCGAGTCAAGCAACATTATTTAATCTCATTTGATTATATTCTTACTAGCTTTACTACCCGGCTTTGCCCGGGACTTGGATTCTTGTCTTGGATTAATACACGGCCTACGCGGAGGGTTGGAGGGGGGGATGCGTGACGTCAGCAGGCACATTGCGTAACGCTGCCACATGCGTGATGTCACCGCTCACTTGCCGTGCAAAATATTAGTGCGCCCCCCCCCCCCCCAAAATACAAAAGTCAACATTTTTATACCTTTTGCATTGTGTACAGTCTGGAAGCTACCCACATGCCAAATTTCAAGTTTGTTGCATGTTGGGAAGTATGCTAAAAATTTCGAACAGACGCACATTCACAAATTTCCCTTTTATATGTATAGATTATATTGTTCCACTTTCACTCCACTAGCTTGAATGTACGATTTGCATACAATTTGTATGAATGCGAATAGATTCTTCAACGTAAGAATCCACAACGATTTACAAATATGGGGTATAGCATACGGTAATGATTAACATAGAATTGGACAACACAATGATGGCCAAATAGCCGAATATAATAGCATTGGATGGATGCAGCAATGACAATGAATTATAGCATTAGATTATGGGCATTGTATAGCTAAGGATATATTGAGTCATCCAATAAAACATATTTGCTCATGACTCATGGAGCACGTAATTTGTGTGAAAATAATAAGTTTTGTAAATTATGAGCCAATTATATGCTATTGTAAATATCACGCTAATTGATCAATCAAAATATATAAAAATGAGACAAAAACGAGCGTTAAACAAGGCAATGCTAAAAAATACAAGACAAAAAGGATAGATTTGTGAATTAAATCGTGACCTTCACCTGAGAAAATTCATCACGTGGGAGGTGAATCGTTCCCTAAATGCCAAAAGAGCACACATTATCGGACTGTGCCACGTCACCCCGCCATGTGATCTTGGGAGGTAAAAGGTTTCGCATAAAAGCGGTGATACGGGCCAAGACAGCTGTGGAGACAAGACTGCCACAGTGGAAGGGATCGCAGCTTACCTTCTCAAAATGCTGCTGCAAGTTGCGCTTGATCTTCATCTTCTCGGCGAGCTCATGGCCCACCCCCGGCGTGCCTGGCATCACCGTGCCCTTCTGCGGTGTGCCGAGCTCCTCGTCGGCGTCCTCGCCCAGGAACACACGCTCGTCAAAGTCGCCCACCGTCAGCACGTACTCCTCGTACTCCCGGTTAATGGCTTTCCTGCCGGCAGCACACAAGGAATAACGGAGGAGAGGCCCGTTGTTGTGACATTGGGCACGAGCGAACGCTCTCCAAGGTGCTTCCAAATACTGGTCAAGAGGCGGCCATGCGGAAGACGTGACGATGCATCGATTAATAAATAAAAATCAATTATGTTCACTATACGCGCTTCAATTTGGGCGTATGAGAATGTATTTTATCCCAATTCGTATATTTTTGATGTAGATTTATGTAAACCCTGTAACCACCAGAAGGTGCCACATTCAGTTACAAAAAAAATATCGATTCTCAAAGTGAATATTGACTTCAAATTGCAACACTTAATCGTATTGTGAATGGGTGAATATAAACACGTCTCCTCTGTCGAGTCACCAAAACAATGCACAAACTCAAATGCATTCCAAGTGAATACCTTTTCGTTACTATAACTCAGGAAAGTATCAAGTTGAAATATATTTTTTGTACGTGAACAATTTTATATTCCCCACCAACTGGTACTGCGGGTAAATTCACCAGTACTAAAAACACACCATGTGGGAGGGTGGGTGCTTGGGTTATAGCTTGCAGTTTGAATGCCATTTGGGGTTCAACTCCCCCTTTAACCATACCAGACTGGGGAACCCACTTTGCGTAACAACCGGTTGTCTAATAGAGACTGAACACTCTCAGTTTGAGCTCCCCACCTTTGTCATGCTTATTTAGGGTGGATGTTTTTGTCTTCAAAACTCACTCATTGTCTGTAAAAGATGAAACATCAAGAAATCCAGAAAGGGTGTCGATTTTTCCTTTCAGAATCTGCGTGGAACAAAACATTTTTTGTAATTAGCAAGCATGGCATATGTTATACATCAGTCATCACGTGACCACCAAAAATCTAAGGTTCCATGAACAGTATTATGTTGTTCATATTTTTATTTCTGGATTTGGCCATGGATGGTCTTGCCAAATTTATGTTACAAGGCGCATCATCAGATGTCCTGGATTTTCCTGAAGATGCTTGACATATTTTAAAGCAAAACTTTGTATTGAATTGCTTAATTTGGTTGTGAAAATAGTTCTTCAACTTTCCACTGAGTCGACACAAAAACAATTGGTTCGTTAAACATTTGCACATGTGGCAATTTTATTTGGTTGGCCTATGTTGGTTGTAAGAGAGTCTTGTGACAGAAATGTGGCCTGATCAATATGGCCTAACCAAAAAAGATATCAATCATAATATAGGATGGGAAAACCCCACGTGTTAAGTATTATTGCTGTTTGCCAAAATATATTAACATAAAGCCAACATTTTAAAGGGATTATTAATGTATGTGTTAGAAGTAAATTATTCCATTTAAACAGCTATTGCTGCTACATCCACATTCTTCTACCCGAGTGGACAATGAACCATAGGTAGCCTTCGCAAAGCCACAAGATGTTCTAACACTCGTTTGCCAACATTATTACAGATCCATAGATGAGCATGACTTTTAAATTAACGCACTCTGCACACACTTGAGAAGAGTACGGCTACACGTACAAGTGTTTACCTTGCGCTCAAACAGCTTGCGGACGTACGGCTTCCAGTAGTGCTCCTTGATGCCCTTGGCCTCCAGTACGATGCCGTCATGCAGCACGCACAGCTGGTCGATGATGCACGGGGGCTCCGCTGGCGGACGGAAGTCCTTGTTGCCAAATTCTTCTGGAAGGCCTTCACCGCAATACAGCAACACATAACCCTAAACTTAAGTTCAATGACTCACAGCCACTGTGTGTGGAGCTTGAAAGTTCTATGGTTTCACGGCACCAGATGCCAGGCCAAACTACAAAATTCTGAGCCTTTTTTTTAATTAGTTGCAGGATGAACACCATGCTCTGTTTGAAACATTAGAGGGCCAACATAAAACGTGGCCACTTGAACACTTTGGCAGAACAGATGAATGAAAATCGAACAATATGTATTTCACTAGCTATCCAGCTTGAGCTAAATTATAATTCAACAAGGATTAAGAGCACCAAATTGCATATACTGTCTTTTTCTCCAGGCAGACCAGCAATTAAAACCCCCATAAGTGTGACCAAATCAAACACATACACCTGATGACATACTAAACATCCATCGCCTGCAACAAAATCTGTACACTGTGAACAAGTTGCATGCCTACAACTACCGCAGCCAGAATTAGATATGTAAGGCTTTCATCACGGGAATGCAAAAACAAAGTAAAAACGTGCATGTCATGCACCTGCACAATGTTTTCTTCCCTCTACAGGTATATCAAAAACATTCCCGAATTAGGCCAATTAGACTCAGCTGCCACAGTTTATAGATCCTCAGGAATAATTTCTGATCATAAACCAATTGTCGGTATCTGCAAAGAAAATTAATGCATAGTCTACCTGGTCCAGTGCTTACCATGCATCACTAGGTGCAACGGTTCTCTGTCAATCTTTTCCAAAAGCATGAAACATGTTTGCTTATAGGTGTGGTGGCAGATGTCTGTAACCGAGTACTTTGGAGGCAATGTTTGTTGGATCATGTACATTTTAAAACTCTCAAACTGGGTGGGTTGTGGGGTAGCTGGAAGATAGCAGTGCAGCAGGTGGGTTTGTGAAGCCTTTGACTGCTATCCCCCATATGCATTTATCCCTATGTACAAATATTTTGCCCCAAAAGCAAATCACTCATAAGGAAAGTGGCCAAACATCTCAATGCAGGGACCTCCTGAAAAAGTCCAGACACCCAATGAGGCTTTCCTGGGTAAATGACAAGCATTGTTATAATTACTGTGAACGAGCCACTGCACTCACCCTGGAAGTTTGGGTTGAGAAGATCCTTGCGATGAGAGCTCAGGAGGGCATTTCCATACATGAGGTCCAGGCAGCACAGCAGGAGGTGATACGAGTTTACCAAATCATCGCTTATCATAGGAAAGTTGGCTGCAGGCGTAAAATGCAAGGTTGGGGTAAAGAATGAATGAATAACAGGATTAGCTGCACAGTCTACATAGAGGTTAGCTTCTCCACAGCCTTTGTCCCAGAAGGCAACCAGCAATTGGTGGTGGGGATTCCAACTCTTACAAGCAGGTAAACATTCCACACTTGCTACGTGGAAATTCCTTTGCCCATGCATGTTAACATGTTTCCCAGTCTCTCATGCACATGTCCAAATTTCACACAATAAAGTTATGCTGGGGTTAGAGCACATGACTTTCAATTGGAAGGGAGTTACAAAATTTCGGTTAGGAGTATACTTATCTTACCATCACTAAGAGGCCAAAAAAATTATTACAAATTTGTGGGAAATATAATGTGAAAACGAGCTGAGGCACTTTGAATTTAAATATTTTTTTAACACGATCAATTCTGAAATGTAACTAACATTTTTCAATTATTTACCTTTACAGTGACAATTAAAAATGTGCATCTGCATTCACATCCTACACACGTGCACACTGATATACAGACAAGCACACAAGCCGGGGCTGTGGCCATGCGTGGGCATGGACTTATCTCTGCTCGCTATTCCTCACTTTAAAGCACGTGATTATCCTGTTCATGTTTGAAATGGCCATGTGCATATTCATACTATATGAATATGCACACATGATGCTTTGAACATGATGCCTTGAACATAGGTGTCAGTTTTTTTGTGCCAGTTAAAAGGGTAAAACCTATTCCTATATTCATACTAACTTCAAGACTAATATTAAACTTAACAGAATATACTTCAAAGTGTGATATTACACAATGAAACATGCAAACATTAATAAAAGCAAGTTCTTTATGTTACAGCTCTCAGACTAGCACACAGTCAACTCAGTGTCCGGTCGACTAATCCTTTCAACTAGCAGCCTGGAAAGACAACTTAAACTCTGTCCTGGATGGAATGGAGTAAGCCGGTGGGGGCAGGGGCCATGGTAGGCAAGTCAGCTGCTCAACCCTGATGCAATATCCGTGCTTGAGGGCGGTGCGCTGCCACTTGCGCAATCCTGGCTCAGAGCCCCGAGTCTCACATGGGCGCATAGCATTCAAGTAGGGAGAACGGTCCGTTTTCTCACACAAGGAAACGTCCCCTCAGCCAGAATGCTAAGCTTCACTTCATCTCATTTCACTGCTGCCAGTACTGGACAATGCTACTCTGTTGGCAGCTATGGGTTATCAGTGGAAACTGCACATATTCACACTTTGAAGGAAACAAACGGTAATCTTCCTGAATAGAGTTTTTTTTTGGTTAGATCGCGTAAATATATAAATGTCGTTAATCTTCCTACAGAGAGACTGGCCCCCAGAATGGTAATATGGAATTTCTACCAATGGCTAATGGCAGCTAACAGAGACAAACATCAACTTAAAATTTATAGCGATTGAAAACATGCCAATGTACCGAATTATTTGAAACCAGCACCACGATTAAGGCAGTAGGAGCTGTCGCAGAATGCTAGGCAAGTTGATACATGTCTTACGGATCCGAGCCAACCTCAACTCTGCCTGCCCTTCCTGTCTGGACTTGCCCATGAACCGCAACCCCCCTCCCCAGGTGCACCTAAGCGGCTGTGACCACGCTCTCGCGCCTCTCCCAGGACCCCCTCGCGCTTCACTACCCGCAACTCCCGAGCGTCGGTAGGCATTGCTCCAATATCGGCAATAACCACCACAGTAAGCAAGCGGTCTGTCTCCTCTCAGTCGCATATTTTAAGTGTTGAGCACCCGTTGCTAACGAGTGGGCATACAGTTAATGCTATGTCTTTGTCAGAGGGAAATGAACCACTATAACTGAGCATCTAACCCGAATCTGGGCATCCAACAATGACAAAACTATTTAAGTGTAATTAGGTCTAAGCAATGTCACCAGTGACTGCATGAAATAAAATCACAGTACAAATATGGTGATGACAAAAACCCATATTGTGCATTAATCACAGGATTGATACAAAGTGAACCACTCATTTGTACAGCATTAAGACAGTTTAGCACTTAGGCTTTGGCGACCAATATTATCCAAAATACAGGTTTTTGGGGTTAAATCGCGTAAATGTGGTTAAATCCGTCACCACCCAACACAGCCAATTAGTAAGTGTTGTCACGTAAACAGAACATGCCAATTCATCACTAGCACACCGGTGTGTTGGAGAGCCAAGCCACAACATTTAAAATCTGAGTACGACGTTTCATTGTTTGAGATTAAAAAAACTACTTAACAGACACCAGAAACAGTAATCTTTAAAGCTCATTCCTGGGTTTGAAGCAATGCCCTGTCATCTGTAGGAAGTTCCAGAAAGTAAATCTGTTACCTGTGTCTTGATAAACTAACCATATCATACCTCAATAACCCCTAATATACACTCAAAGTTGAATAATTTTTCACGAAATTCTTCGGGCGAATGGCAGGTATGTATAAATTACACATCCAGTTTTAAGTTTACGAGCCAAATGATAGCTTCAGAAAAATAATACTGTTCCATCCGCCGGAAAGTGCGTGTAGTATGCAGTTTTGATTTAAAGCTTTCGTGACTGCAGTAATTCATATTCTTAGTTTTTTCGGTAAAGTCACGTTGAAGAGAAACAACAAAATAATAAAATATATATAAAACAATAAAAAATTCTCACGATGTTTCGACCATAACTCAAACGGTCATCTTCAGGTGTGTTGGTTTGCATAAATTTATTTTTAAACGACCTGCTTGTCAGTTTTGATGTAGTTTCCTTATTCACCAAGGTTCCTGTACCTGACACCATTGCAATCATTGAAGACTTGGTTCATCAAGGACTAAACACTGAGGTACCCCCCCTGGTGAGACACTGTTTAACCAATACATACTTCACTTGGAATGGAACTTTCTACAAACAAACTGAGGGCACCCCAATGGGCTCCCCCCTTTCTCCAGTTATAGCTAACATTTTCATGGAGAAATTTGAGACTGACGCCATCCAGACTGCCACTCTGCGCCCAACCTTATGGAAGAGGTACGTGGATGACACTTTTGTCATCTGGCCACATGGCCGGCCTGCTCTAGACCAATTCTTCGACCACATCAATTCCATACACCCAGCCATCAGATTTACCATGGAAGTCGAAATAGATGGCAAGATACCTTTTTTGGATGTCCTAATTAAAAAGAGACCTGATGGTTCAATGAGCCACTCTGTCTACAGGAAAGCTACCCATACGGATGCTTATCTGAAACCGGATTCCCACCACCATCCATCACAGAAGAATTCTCTCATCAAGACTCTGTATCATAGAGCCCAATGCATATCCGACCAGGAACACATAAGCAGTGAACTCAAGCACGTACACCAAGCTCTTAGGGCTAATGGTTACTCCGACTATACAATCCGCAAAGCTATCACTCAAACCATGAAGAAGAACCCTCTTGAGGAGCCTTTCAAAACCATCACTTTACCCTACATTGCTGGGATCACAAAAAAGATCTCCAAAATCTTGAATAAACACAAGATCCAGGTCCGTTTCAACACATTACATAAAATCCGTGATCTGGTTCCGTCTGTAAAAGATGTGATTCCGGACATACAATACCCTGGTGTCTACAAACTAAGTTGCCTCTGTGGTAGTAGTTACATTGGAGAAACCAAACGCCATGTCTCGGACCGCATTCGTGAACACAAAGCAGACCTTAAACACGGTAGGACCAACACCTCGGCCGTAGCAGATCATTGTTCTAATTCAGTAGGCTCACATGCCATTGACTTTTCCAAGACAGAGGTTCTTTGTAAGCCATCTGGCTTCCATGAGAGATTCGTTCATGAGGCTATCCACATATACAAGCACAGAGACAATTTCAACCGAGAAGATGGATTCTATCTTAGCAATCATTGGAAAGATTTGATAAACCATTTCAGTTCTTAATTGATTGTTCACGCTTACATTGGCTTTCAGACAGCATACATTATAAAAAATTTCGTCTCCCCCCCTCCTCTTTTCAAAATATAGATGGACTAGTCCTGGGTAAACTGCCAAATCGCTGCGCGTGACGCTAACGTTTTTTTAATAAATAAATAAATGCGCCGTTTAAAAATAAATTTATGCAAACCAACACACCTGAAGATGACCGTTTGAGTTATGGTCGAAACGTCGTGAGGATTTTTTTTATTGTTTTATATATATTTTATTATTTTGTTGTTTCTCTTCAACGTGACTTTACCGAAAAAACTAAGAATATAGTATGCAGTTGTTCGTGTTATGGTCAATTGTTTGTTTCGGGTGGCCGCAGTCACAGCAGTATGAGGTCATCGCAAATTTGCCACTTGTGGAAGAGGTGCACGCAGCGACCAGTTGCTGTTCTGAAGCGGTCGGCGGTGCACCAGTTTTCTTGGCAGACCAAATCCATTGGGAGCAGGGGTTGAGCTCCTCAATTAGGCTTTTATTAGGACCCTTGGCAGATCTCCAGTGTCTTCAGTTGATGCTTCATCCATGTGTCTCACGTTATCCCAGATTGTTTTTTGGGATCTCAGACGAGTTCGTGGAGGGTCGAGCAGGTCTTGGAGTAACGGGAGGTTTCAACCAGTCTTTTCACTTCATGAAAAAACTATCTGAAGCCGTATGGCAATTTATTAATCAATAATCTGTAACAAATGTTATTAAAATGGGTATTATGCTGGTTCTCTAATTAAAAACCCATTCCATCGGATTTCATTTGTCCACTTACATCATAACCCACTAATTATTTTTAGCATTGGAATGTGTGCCAATACCAATTACATTGTACGTTTTTATTAGCTATGGGATGAAAATGGAAAACCCAGAAGAAACCCAGACAGAACAGGAAGAAAACACACAAACTGCGCAGAGAAAGGATCCCGAGGCAGGAATTGAACTCAGGAACTTCTTGCTGTGAGGCGCAAGTATTATCACTGTACAACCCTGCCGCCCAAATTAAGCTGCAGCTTACAAATCTGTTTGTTCACTTGTAGACCACGTGGTACCAAGCACGGGAGTCTTACAATCACTGAGTTTGAGAGACTCACAAGTCTCTTATTCCTACCTTTTGTCCGTACAAATAATGTCCAGCAGAACTTGAACAGGTCCGAGACAGTGCAGGGTAAGCGTCTGAAACATAGAGTTATGAATTAACAGATTTGAGGTGTATATAGACAGGTGTGCGATCCCAAATGACTTGCCTTAAGATTCGTTTTTTTTAAGATACTAAGTGTGCAAACACATTGTTAATGTTTGTCAATATACAGCTGCATGGGTAATTGTTACAGAAAAAACAACCAAGAACATCTATTCAAAAACAGACAACTAAACATGTAACTGTTATGTAACTTATTCATATTCTTTGGTTCTTTCGGTAAAGTCACATAGATACAAAATAATAAGAAGGTTAAAAACCACGACGCTTCGATCGCAACACAAGCGATCGTCCTCAGGTGAACAAATACAGCTGGCGGACCGTTACAATTGTCTCTCAACACAATACATTTTCAGTATGTATTACCCTGATAATGTCATAACCATGCAAGGAAACAAACATGTTAATTCCAATATGTTTAAAAGAATCCCCAATGGGATTGGTTTTGTGGTTAAAATAAACATCATTAAGAGACATTGTTGGTGCGTTTGGACACTAAAGCATCTCTGAATGAAAATATAACAAAGTAAGTTTACCAATTATGGGACTAAGATGTGGTGAAGTGAATTTGAGGTGGCTAATGGAGCTAATGCACACCTAGCAAATAATTTGGTAAATGTAAATACAACCAAAACAAAATTACCAAAGTTGTGTATCCCTGAATTCCCAACAAAAATGTTGAAGTTTTGTTTATGACAATAGACATTTAAAACATGGATAGCCGCTCAGTCATAGTACACTAGTTACATCCTTGCAATGACATTGTACAGTATTGGATTAATAATAGTGATGTCACAAGGGATCCATAATTATGACCGTGAAAGTTATTTTACATCTATACTCATTAACAAAGCTTTCTATTTAAGTTGCACATCCCGATGCACAATCTAGCTATTTATCTACAAAATATGAGCTATATGAATTTGTAGAATTTTTAAGTTTTGCTGTACAGCGCTCCGACATTCGGCTTTTACCGCGAATCGTCAGACATCATCCCAAACAACAAAGAAAACCCGAAAACGCCCAAAGTTAAAGAGCTTCGTGATATTTTTTTTGCAGAATTCTCCTTGAAACACAAAACGACAAGCAGTGTCAAAACAAGTAAAGCCATGACCGTGCGAACCTCTGCTTGCGCCCACGTGGCTGACGTGGTGCTTCGTCCTGTGGGTCGCGGAACAGGCTCAGGAAGATGGGCTCCAGCTTCTTGAAGATGACAGTGGAGACGGCAAAGTTTCTCTCCAAGCGCTCGATGCGACAGCGGAAATCGGAGCCCACCTGCGCCATTTCCCCCCACTTCTTCATCTTGCCAAAGAAGGCGATGAGGCTGTGGACAGAGTGGGCGTGGGGTGGGGGCGGCAGGACCAGGCACCTGGGCGTCGTCCCCACCTGAGACTCAGCCTTTTTCTTCACCTCCCAGGCCCCATAAGCATGCGCGACTGCATAACCACGCTTCTCTGACCCACATCACCTATGATAAGTTGCAGGTAGCTATTTTCTTATATGGCCAGACAATTATGTGGTATAGTGCTCAAATCTATTTTGTAAGATTGCGACTTCAGATCCTAGTCTGAGAGCAACATAGCGTATCATCCTCCAGTCGATGATATGAGTACCATGTAGGAGGAAATCAACTGTGGTTGTATAACGGTTTACTTTGTTTGCAGAGAAAATAATCATTAAAAGCTGAGTTCCGTTACCGTCATTACGCAACTGTGAACTAATGGATCTTCTTCATTCCAGATAAGGGGTCGTTTGAAAATGGTTGAGATTAAGGTCACATTTCACTTTAAATTAAACCCTATGAGCAGGAGCAACTGATTATAAAAACTGGGTTTGATAACTGTAAAAAACTGTTTTTGAATGTGGTTATGCCAGCGCTTGCATGCATGGAGCCATGGGGGAAAAATAATAAAAAAAGCATTTAAAAGCATCAACCGCAGCACTCCACTGAACACCAGACGTATTGCCAGCAAACTCTCTCAGTGCCACTGGGACACCCTGAACAAGCCCCTCATACATCCCACACAACAAATAATTCTACGCAACTCTACGGAAAATCCTGTTCTCTTATGGTCACAATGAAACCCGAGAATGGAGATACGTCAAAAACAGGGATGTAATGATTCAAGGAAATACCACGATTCGGGTCACAATGCGATTCAAGAATTTTTTTTGCCATTGTGGTACATGTAGAATATATAGTTGTATGAATCTAGAGTGGTGTAAATATAGTCATCAGAAGTAGTTTCTACAGGCCCAGTATGAGAGTAATGACAGATCTTATTCTACGGTTAGCAATGTAAACCTTAAAGGGGACTTAATTGGCTCCGATGCAATGAAACACAGAAACCTGCATAATAGAAGTGAATAATGAACGTACACCGAGTTCGAGTTAATAATGCTGGCTCTCAACGCCGCCCGTACCTTAGTTTGGAGGAGCGCAGGATGCGTGTCAGAGACACGCAGTTTCCCTCAAGCGTTCCCCGGCCCACGGTGGGGATGAGCGTCTTGCGACATGCCACATACAGCGCGCATGCCAGCCAGTGCAGCTCATCGCCCTGTATGTGACGTGAATGTCATTATACGATGGTTGGAAATATAACTGCATACTGAATGAACCATTATTAGGATGCCAACGTAACTCAAAAGTTGACATTAATTATTGCTCTCAGGCTGAAGTTGAGCTGACCCAGACTTATAAATTTTGCACAATAGATGAAGACAGAATTTCACATTTTGCAAATACAGGCAGACCTCGCTTAGTGCTTAAGATACATTCCTGGAGAAGTGAGTGCAGATGAAATAATCACTAAAAGGGGTCATTATACCGTTTCATATATGGGGATGCGTTCCTGATATAATTATTTATTTCGTATGAGCAAAATATAACGGCTTCAATGGGTACCGGAAGCAGCGCTCATAATAATACAGATAGTAAACATTACTTAATAACATAATTAATTATAACGTCGCAATTATGTACTGTACTCACAAGTGCATTCTACTAGAAAGCAGGGGTGGGAGACAAGGTTTGAGGGGACCTGTTACGCTCGCAATCCAGGTTATTTTCAGAGAAGAGCTCCAAGAACCTCCATGATCTTAGTAATGCCCTCAGTCTAAATGTCCACGGCGAGGTTTCTTTTAGGTGGACCCTGAAACTCTATCCTTGTCTCGTGAGTTATCACCTGACTAAACAAAGCCATTTTTTTAAAATGTAATTGTGACTACGAATCGTGATAATCCAATTGCAGGGCGTGAGCTACGTATTGGCTCAGAGAATATGTCGCTCTCATGGGTTGAGCGAATGGTGGGGGCGGGTACGTTTCCTCGGCCAGTCCTGCTGCGTGTTCTCACCCCTAAGTAATGTACTGGTTAGATAAGAGTACGTATATATTTTTTGTAAAAATTGGTCTCCAGGACAAAGCGCGCTATAACGAATCAGCGTTTTATTGGATCGCGCTGAGTGAGATCTGCCTATACAGTGCCTCTGTAACACAATGGTTCCTACGCAATGAAACAGAAAGGTGCGGAACAGAAATGTAAACAAAATCACCACAAAATCAATTATTCTTGTATTCACTCTATTTGCAGTTAAAAGTCAAGTCAAACCAGCTCACAAACGGTCGCATATGAATACACGAACTTCAGTATACAGTGAAACCTTGGATTGCGAGCAACTTGGTCTGCGAGTGTTTTGCAAGACGAGCACATTTTTAAAATAAATATTAATTTGATAAATGAGCGAGGTCTTGCAATGCAAGTAGTACGTGTACGCTTTGTCTGCCGAGCGTCACGTGATCACAACTGATATACAAGTGCTTTGATATACGAGTGCTTTGGATTACAAACACGTTTCCGGAACGAATTATGCTCGCAATCCAAGGTTTTACTGTATTTGAAATAGAACATAAAACAATAGTTTATAGTTATCAATTTCATCCCCTATACTTGGAAAGCCCAATGGCATTAACTTCACAGCAGCTTTCATCGATTAATTATTCCACTTTTTTAAAAGCAACTCCCTTGACAGCATGATCAACCTTAACTGAAAACAGAGGCCATTTTTTACCCTTATCGCTGAAATGCTTTTTTACTTGCCGTTTTTCTGGCGGTGAAGACATTTCACCGGTGGGCACACTGGTTAACCGACAAATCTGGTGGTTTTTGGTTAATACCAAGATGCAAATCATGGCCAATGTCTTTTTTGCAAAAGAGACCAACCTGTATACGAATGATGGCTTAACAAATTTAACAACATGAAAGTTGTTGCAGGTATTTTTTCATTGAAAGTAATCTAAATATAAAAATAAACCAAAACAGGAGAACCTAATTGCTTCCTAATGTGCTAAGGGGGCAGTACTCGAAACTTCGCCAATGCTTTTATTTTAAGGTAGCGTTTAACAGGTAGGCTTTTTACTGGCGAAACGTCACTCAGATTGTAAATGTTGTGGATTTGCTCTCCAACACACCAGTGTGCTGTACTAGTAACGAATTGGCACGTCCTGTTTACGTGCCAAATTTTAATTATTGGCTGTCGGGTGGTGGCGGGTTTAATGACACATTTATATTTACCCAATCTAATCCAAAAAACCTGGAATAAGAGGTAGCGTTATTGAGCGTTGAGTTGTTTTGTTAATTGTGCTGACGCACCATCTCCAATGCAGCATCACATAATTAGCAAAAATGACCGTTTTAACAAACTATACATGGGACTATACAATCAAGTCACATCTGTACTTTAAAACCAAATTCTATAATAGCTCATCGAGCGGTATATTGGAACGTTCTGGCTAATAAGCCAAACTGTTGTTCAATGCCAATTAGCGCGATGACCAATTACCCAGAATGTGTGCCCAATCCCATCAGACCTTGGCTCAAACAGATTTAAACCTGGATAGCACTTAGATGGGTGAATACCAAGCACATAAACGGTGCAGTATGCATCGCGGACAGTGCAGCAAAATACACTGTTCTGTATTCTCCCCACCTTCACAAAACCGCATTGTATAACATAGTGCAGTATGTTTAAATGATTCTCACTGCCTCAACGGCACGGACAGACCATCAAACGGGTTGTACACCTATTACCAAGAATGTTCTGCTATAACACTCACTTTAAGTTATAACTCAACATTTAATGAAAACAAATTTCCTGTTTTCATTCAGTGTATTATTGGGTACCAAGCTCCATCCTGCAAACCATTTTCCATTTGGTTCTCATCTGGCTCAAGGTCAATGAACTGACCTGCCGTATTATGACGTCCCTGTTCAAACAAAAGCATTGCTCGCAGTTTGTGTTGGTGGCAATTTAATTTTATCGTGGAAGGTCGGTATCGTAACGGTAAATTTACCCAGCGCAATTAAGGTATGGCAGCAAAAGCAGAGGACCGCCGCTGAGTTGGAGCTGAGATCGGTTCATGTGCAGGAGTGAGATGGAAGGTGGTAGCACTGCATCTTAAGAGATGACATGGGAGGGCTTTCGCCCTGCAGCTGATGGACAATGACGGATGATGATGACTATTGCACTGAATGCGCTGTGTTGATAGGCGCCTTCGGGGATCTAAGTAAAATCGGGATGCCACACATCCCCCTCCCCAAGCCTTCTTTGTGTCGCTCAAATCACGGTCTGTATAACACGCCTAGAACGCCTTGGTGGTGGTTTCAAGGGTGACCCTCCTCCAGGGACGCCGTCAGGGAGGTAGGGTAACGTGGCTTGCTGGCGTTACAAACAACCGCCACAACACAGCAACGCATGCGATTGAGACGGTGAGAACGGTGGTGGTGGTGGTGGCCTCTTGCCTGGCCCCATGGGGTGGATGGATAGTGGGCACCCCCACGTGGAGCCGCGACTCGGCAGTCACTGGGCAACGGCGTGGGGCTACAGGCCCGGCGCGCAGGTTCAGACTCGTCCTGACCATTGATATGAACGCGAGAGTGGGGCTCAGAGCTTTAAAGGGCCGGGGTCTTTAAAAGGGTGCACGGGCATGGCTCGCCACCCTGCAGCGGCTTAAGTGTTGAATTAACTTACCGTGGATACAAAGTGCAGCGTTGCTTGCACTATTTAGGGATCTGCTCCTCATTGAAATGAGATTAAACTGGGATGTTTCGCCAATTTACGTAGTTACTTTGTGTCTGCTGAAAACAGTTTTCATTTATGACTAATTGCACGGGAATATAATGGGTTGTAGGCGAGGGCTAATTACTGATCTATGTAGAGTTTTGGGTTTTTCCTGCATTAAGGGCGTCAATAATTTTCATTTGCATGAGGTAGCAAATGTAAGTTTTCAAACGTATACGCTAACGTCCAGATAGCGTATAGTGTACAATGATTTTGGTTTACGCGCATCCATTTATTGTACAAACCCTGACATCTGCAAGCGTCTAAATAGCACTCAGATTAAGTCCTGCTGAAAAGTGCATCATGGGAAACATGAAAAGCCTTTGCAAATAACTTATTGCACAAATGTACCATACTATAACTTAAAGACTCGCAACTGTAATACAATGCACGCAAATCACACGTGTAGAAGCAGTAACACAATCACTAACTGCTCTTGCCACACAAACGGTGGAGTGTTCACTGGTTGAACAGTTTTTTTTTTTATAGCCCTGTGAGCCATTCGGCTCTTGAATCGGGTGCAACCACAACAAACAAAAACACGAACAAGAAAACATCTTAAAGTGACCATGTGACTGTGCAAACAGAAAATCCATGAAAAAAAACAGCAAAATATTCCTGAAAAAAGCACCGTACACCAACGCTGTGTGCAAAAAATCCCAGTGGGATGCAAGTCAAACAACAACAACCACAAGAAAACTTAGATTAAGGCCATCAGGCTAACTCCGTACTACAACAAACCAAACATGTCCAAACCAACAAACGTTTTCGAAATCACAAGAGGTGGTCAGTGCGTCAATGACTGAGCAGAGGGGCGAATTAGCCCGGCACTCGATTCAGCAGGAAAACGCTCTACACCCTAAGTGGGGACAGCAAAACACGGAGCGTTCCCAAAGTCACTCCACTGCTGGATGAGGGTTTCCCCACTGAGTGGGTCGCACACCACCCTGCAGTAAATAATACAAACACTGATGCTGCATAAACTACACTCGCCACAGAAATATGGAATATCCACCGCCTCCCCTCCTTAGGTTTAGCTCATTCGGCAGCTTGACACCCGGCATTAAATAATAACACAGCGACATGTAGTAGCCCCTCACCCCTTCCCAAGCTGCTGTCTTTATCCCTTTACCCATAACCACTGCCACCCCACTTCCCATACCCCTAAGCAATAACCTTACCCATTCCCATCCCAAACATCTCTCCTATCCGAACTCATATCCACACTATATTCTACCCCTAAATACACGGCAACCCAAACCCTCCTTCCTTATCCACTTACCCATACCATACCCCTGCCACACCACTTCCCATACCCCTAAGCAATAACCCTACCCATTCCCATCCCGAATGTCCCATATTTCTTCCCCAGTTATCTCCTACCCGAACCCATATCCACACTATCCCTAAATACACTCTAACGGTCTAACCCATACCGCCCCCCCCGCTCCTTATCTACCCATAACCTATACTTATACGTGCCCAATCCCATAAACAAACCCATACACGTTTCTACTGTTCACTTAATTCACACTCCCACCCATGTGCCCCCATCACTAATCATATAAGTCTAACCACCACTCATAATCCCCTACTATCACTACCACTCACAAACTCGATACCTAACTCCTACTATCACCACCACCACTCCAACTCTAACCATGCCCTCTCCAACTCTAACCATGCCCCCCCCAACGCCGCCACCACCAACACCACCACCGTAACCCCGGGCCCGCATCGCCGCCGCCGCCCGGGGCGGCAAAGCGCGGAAGGCGAGGAGCCCCCTCCTCGGTGTGGTGGTGGCGGCGGCGGTGGTGGGGGAAACTCCCCGAGTTCTTCACTTTGACGGCCGATCCCGCGAGCCCCGCTGACCTCGAGGGTGAAGTTGGTGCGGATCTTCTCGAAGCCGGCCCACGCCTCGTGCACCGTCGACTCGTCCATGTTCAGGTCCTGACAGAGCTCCTCGAACTTAGCCCGCACGCCATTGCGGCCGCCGCCACCGCAGCCGCCGCCGACCTCGTCGGCGTTTTCGTCCTCGCTTTTCGTCATTGTTTGTGTTGACACGCGACGTTTTAATGAGCGCTGGTTTTGTTTTACATAAGCGTATAAACGAGGAGAGATAGATGGAGGGAGGTGGAGGGGGCGTTGAAGGTGGCGAGTTTTGTTGGATTTTAAAAAAACACAAAATTCTCTCCCCCCCCACGCCGCCCGTAACGACTGCGCTAGCCGCCGACTGCACCGCCTCTACCCGGCGTGCACCGCGTGCGCGTCCCGGCAAAGTGGCGCGAAAACGGCCGCGTCACGCACACCCCTCACCCCGTTAACGCGCCGCCGTGCAAAGAGTGCGCGCGCGCGCAAATGTGCAGTTTGTTTGTTTGTTGTGAATAACACGGGCACTCGTGGATAGTGACGTCTGATGCGTATACAGCCATTGTTCGATTGTTGTTTTTTTTTGTTGACGTAAATATTGAGTGTTGTGTTTCCACTAAGGTAAGGCGCGGCGGATGGTTATGGCATGGGGCGTGTTGTTTGGATTGAACACGTCATCAGGGGTACGATAACTTTACGCTTTTAAAGTCGCTCGTGTTTTGCCCGTTTCGGTTTCAAAGTTAATCCGTCGGCATCTAACCGCAAAAACTGAGTTTTGGGATCGTGCTTTTGCACGTTTCGCACCGTAAGGAAGGCTTCCGAATTATTTGATGCATTTTGGAGAAACAAACATACGGCATAAGGAATTCATGGCTTGCACCCCATTCAATGTCTTCACTCATTCTGCGCCCTCCTGTTAGCCCACACAACCTCCCAATTGCTAAGTGAACCTTTTCGCTTATACTGTATAGTTAGCAAATTGAGGCTAGCATTGGGTTTTCTAATTTTAATTTTTGTAGGATCACTCATCCTTTTTACCCCCTTGCCAATTTTTTTTTCAAATGAATCAAGTCTAGAAATTCGTATCTAGTCATTTGTAGCATTTGCAACAAACCTGTACACGGCTCCAACTACTGTTTGGATGAGGGCCTTGCCACGCCATGCGGTTTGCAGGGACTGACCCACACTTGATCACGTGTAGTTAGTGGGAGTTGAAGGCTGAAAGCACAAACGCTGGACTGCCCTTTCCTGCACTCCACATTTACTCCGCATTCCTATAACACCTGGGTATGCGTAATGGTATCCAAGCTAAAATTATGGTTACCGTCTGACGGCTGACAAGGTTGGGCCGCATTCCAGGACTTAAAATCTTAGCACAACTTCAACATTTGTTTAAGCATAACCCGAGTGGCATAACCAGCTTCTCAGTTATGTTAACAGCGTAGGCATTTTTGCTTTGCTCAAATATATGACCAAATACATTTATAATCACTGGCTACCAAATTAAATTCCACCAACCTCAATAAAGCAGTATTTACTGAATAGTTAAGTCATGTAAGTGGAGAGATTCACTGTTATAAAGGTAACGTGAAACGATACGTGGAATCAACAAAATTGGTAATCTCTTGCACTTCAATGTCACATGGCTCTCGAGTGACAGAGCTATTTTAAGGACCTCACAAAAGGGCTTGTGTCAGCTCCTGGTGTCATATACAAGTCACAAGAATATGACTTGTTTTTAATTCGTATAAATAGTGCCTTGTGATATGGGTGGCTACAAAATCCATTACCCTATTAGCCACTTGCCAACATATTCGCGTGGGGTGGTCACTTAGGGTGGGCACACACACCCAGCCCGCTTGCCCGGTGCTGGTTGGCGGTGGAGTTTTTAATTTAGGGAGTATTGTCCGGCTCCATGCAAGGAGCAAGTGCCCTGAGCCATTCCTTGCTCCTGAATATACAATACTGCATACATCCTTTTTCAAATAAAGTGATGTTGAACCACACTGGGAACTAGCCGCCTGTAAGCCGAGACACGGTTTGGCCTCCCCTGTTAAATGTTTTATTACGATTAATTGATTCGATTAATTGATTCTCGCAAAATGGCACTCACGCTGTTCAGTAAACCACAAGACAATTTCAAATTCCATGTGCTTATAAAGGAGTTAACTCACACAAGCACCGAACAATGCCATTTTTTCTAGCTATTGGTGGAAACTCCACATCATAACGGCAGTGATTGTTCTCCCATTTGCATGCTGATTTACCACTCGAGTGTAGCTCACAAGGATGGTGTTAATTTTGCTGACTCAAGACTGGTGGTAATGACCATTGAGTTGAGTTTATTCAAACTGAATTACAGAAATGACAAAGCCCGCTTGAAAAATTTAGCTCGATCAACTTAAATGTGTGTGCAGTGTTGTTCAACCCGGGTTTTTCTTTATGTCCCAAAACATTTTTAAACACACATAGCCTTGGCAAACTTCAAGCCGTTCAACACGGCCATTGTAGGATTGACATTACGCATTCTTCTCAACACGGATGTTCAAACGTCCGTAAAAAAAAACTATACCGTGCAGTGCTGTTGGTTTCTGGAATTCTAAACATTTTCCTATAATTTGCCTCCAGCAAATATTTAGTCTGGGCATCAAGGTCTTTGTTAAATCAACTTTGCTTCACCCTCATCTACAATTGTATCTCAATCTGTCACTTTGTGGACAGCATATAAAGCTCAGCACTTTTTTATGTAAATAAAATAAACCCACCTCTTGGAAATTATTACATTGCCTAGCGGTAGGGCGTCCGCCACTTGTTACAGAGACACGCTTTTAGGGTCCAGCGGCCACCCTGATTATTACTGCGGGTGTTTTACGACCATAATAATATGCGCCATTCGCAAAAGTAGGCCAGTGTTCCAGCATCAGGGTAGAATATTACCCGCAAATCACTCAATTGTGTACATTTACCATTACAACAAGACCTGCTTAACACTTCACGAACTCGTTTGAAATAACGGAAACCAATCTGGGATCACGCGAGACAATTGGATGAAGCGGGATAAATTTGAAAAATTTGAAGACCGCTGGCAAACACTGTGGAATTCTGTGGACATTCCAAATAAAAGCCTTAGTCGACGACCCCACGGTCGCGATGCACTGCGTTGATCTGCCAAGAAAACTATGGTGCTCCATCAACCGTTTCAGAACAGCAACAGTCTTACCGCGGCCACCCGAACCAGACAATGGACAATATCGTCAAATTGTCTGCATTCTACGCCCGCTCTCCGGCGGACAGTGCAGTATTAGTCACGCTACTCCTGAAGCGATCGCATTGGCTCACATGCTTAAACTTGGACGTGTGATTTGCACATACTTGCCATACGCTAGAGAGAGAGAGACACACGCAGCAGCATAAATCATTGCCCCCTACTGGCAGACTAATGCCCCAGGTCACTCTTGCAAGTAAGATTATATCCTGGTCTCTTGAGTTCTCATCTCGTTACAATAAAATACTGTACACATAAATGCTTGCCAAATTTGAAAAAGTACCTGGAAATTACTCCTTTTGAACGTACATTATTGCAATTATTGCAATCATCGCCCGCTAAGATAGCACCTTCCTGAAAATGAGACGAAGGCTTTCCTCGGAAAACGAGTATAATATTTATAATGTATATACATAAGTGTGTCAACATCGCAAATAAATATGGAAGCTCCCTATACAAACATGTGACTTGCTTAGACAATAGTGCTTGTGAAAATGGGCAATATTTATTTCTCAATTTGCAGGAATAAGATTTTATTTTTTCTACAGTTGGATGATTTGTATCGTTTACTTTCACCAATACTAAGTACGAAGGTGTGAAAATAGCGGACACTTCCCAAACACTATATATTTTCTTTTACCCCACGAACCACTTGAGAACATTTAGGAGAAATGGACATACCTAAGGTATAGAAATCCACTCGGTAATACCGTATTAACATATGCCCATTAGCCAATGAATGAAACGCGTATGACAGTATGTCCATCGAGAAGATGCAGCAGTGAAATCAGCTCGTGTGCCGGTGCTGGTGTATGTACGTATGTTTCATTTCTTTCGCACCGTAGGTAGCCAACATTGCTAATCAGGGGTGGATTATCGCATTGTAGGCCCTTGAGAGATGGTGATGGTTTGGGGAGGCCTTCACCAAGTGTTGGATTCAAGTCATTAAACCACGGTTACGGTCATGAATGTTAACATCTTCTGGAGTGAGTGGGCAGAATTTTTTGTTCAAGTCATCTGCTTATAAAACGTTTCAGTTCACAGACCATCACAAGAAACTGTATCAAAATAGTAACTAAATTCATGGAGATTTTTTTTCACAGTTGCCAAGATATCGAAGGACTATGGGCTTGTTTGAGCCGAGTAAACGCAAGCAGAGAGTTTAAGTAGCAATTGACTAACTTCTATCGTCTGTTGTTTTTACTGCTTTATCAGCTATTGTCACTGTTAACCATTAACTCGCTAAATCAAATACTTTTTTTGAAGGAGAAACTTGACTTTGTAAATCCTTTACGAGGAAACGTTCCTATTTTGTTCCATTATGGGATGCTTAACGTTCAAGGCAAAGCTTTGGATTTCACTTTACACCCTTTGTATGCACTTACAAAATTACTCTGCAATCCATTTACCACACTCTACTCTGCTTTGAATTATTTCAGGCTCATATTACCCAGGGATTCTAATAATCTACAGGGTGTTTAAAAAAATGGACCCAATTTCAAAGCAGTATATTTCACGATGGCAACATGTTACAATTACACGAAAAGTTACAAACGGTTTAATGAGTTATCAAGTTTTACTAAACATTTTATAAATGCTCTATGTGCCCTCCACCTGCTGTACGAACAACATCGAGACCGATAGGTTGAATTCGTCCCAAACGCCTCTCAAAGTGTCTTCTTCCACTGAAGTCACCACTGCCGTGATTCTGTTTTTGAAGTCATCCAGATTAGTCGCTAACGGTGGCACAAAAACATCACGGTCTTTTGTGCCACCATGCTCTTTGACATTGGCGGATCAATGCCAAAACGCCGTTGAAACGCACGCTGCACCGCAATTACGGATTCAGTCTTGCTGAACTGCAGAACGCAAAACGCCCCTTGTGTTGCGGGGGTCACCGTCTTGCGAATGACTGAGGCTAGGGGCTGTTTGTGCGCTGGGAGAGGCATCGAGCGGTAATCATTTGAAACTCTATGCCCCAACCTTTCAAGGGGTAAGAGTTTCATTCATAGGCGGTTCGTGGTTGCAGAGATATAGCGATTTTAAATCGGGTCTTTATTTGAAACACCCTGTACAGTATTTACATTCGTACTTTGATCGTGATTGTTTGTCCCAAGGAACTATTAATATTCGTCAGAGCACTAACTTATCATAATTCAGTTGTAGCCGA